TATTGTTCGAATTACATTAGCATAAGTCAAAGGCAACTGCAGACAATCGATTTTGTTGCCGCAATAAAACCCGATGTGGCATATCCTCTGCGACGGATCCTTGCTCAACATCTATCGTTAATGTTGCCACATTTATTACTATATAGCAGTTATTTGTACGCAACAAACAGTAATTTATGATGAAACTAAGAGGTATAAACTACACGAGATATTTAGTTGCAACTTTAAAATTACAAAATCCATTTTAATAAAAAAAGTAAACGATGAAATCATAGTATCATTGAGAAATCAGTTTTTACTTTTAACACGTTTAATTTTTTTTTAATAAAAGGGGGCAAACAAGCGACGGGAACACCGAGTTAATCAACGACGCTAATAAAACTTAATACAAATTTTGCTCATACCCAGTTTACTTCTAAATTCAACTTTATACCGCATTTATTTGTAAGGGTGTTTTTGTTAAGCTTGTTTACACTTTTATTGGTGTGTAATTTCATATGTCAAAATCCAAATCAGATCGATAGACAATTTATTTAGGCAAAGTCCACACAACGGGCCTTTAAGGCCTGCCCTAATAAAGCGCAGTCTACCAAATAAGTCCGTACAATTGTACTTACATTCAAAACAATCATGACTTGTTATACAATATGGCAATCGGAATTATACAGTAACTAGCTTTCGCTCGCGACTGCGTCCGCGTGGAATTATAAAAAAACAAAATCAAGTAACCTATGTGTTCTTCCAGACTATCCTCTAAGTCTATGTCAAATTTCATCGAGATCTACTGAGCAGTTTAGGCTACAAACTCTAACAAACATCTCAACTTACATCATCATCTCCTTATCCTACTCCCGTAGGGTCGGCGCAACAGGTTTTTGTCTTCCACATAACTCTATCATACGTCATCTCAGTCATCACTCCTTTTTGATCATGTCACCTTTTACACAATCCATCCATCTCTTTCTAGGTCTACCTCTACCGATGTACCTCCACACTCATAACTAACGTTTCCATAAACTTTCGCATTTATAATATTAGTAAGCAAGATTGTATACTCTATGTTAAGCATGTTAGCTTAGCTCTAACTCAATTCTACAGAACTCATTTAAAAATCTAAGTGAGTTTCCAAAACACACATCAAAACAATGTCAACTTTTATTCTATTTGAATGCACAGACAAGAAAATATTGCGGTTGATAAATAAACAAAAAAGAAGTAACATTTTAACGTAACGCAGATAATATCTTGAAATTGAAAGATCTAATACCTAACTCAAACATATGTATCTAGATGTTCGCTGCTTCATCCGCATGAAATGTAAACTTTATTTCATTGTTTACATTTGACGAATTTTCTTCTTCTTCTTTTAATGATTAGTAAACTATCGTTATTTCAATAATTTCGCTAAAGTCAAGGTTGAAGATAATTGAAAGAATATAAAACAAGACCAAAAGTTTTGAGTAGCAGTTAACTAGATATACGCAATCTAGTGTGATTGACAAATGACCGGTAGATGATTTGTCCAATTTTCAATTGCAAATGTCAAAATGACATTACATGATGACAAACCATTGCAATCTTACTTCCTTGATGTTGGCACCTTGTAGCTTATGATCCCTTTGACACATTAGGCTTTAGGGTTTGTTTATCCAATTTTTTTACCCCATTATTTTAATAGCCTGAAACTATACAGCCTAAAGGTAATTTTGACATTTGCAATTGAGAATTTGACAACTGTAAACAAACAAAGTTTTTATAATTTCATGCAGATGACGCCGCACGGGAACAGTATCGGTGGTAGAGGCAATTTCTGTAAACACAACACCGCGAAGTTTCCTAACTGTACAGTGTAGACCGTTAGTTATTTTCCTACACTTGAGCAAGCATAAATCAATTCGAGTATGCTCTTAGCAGACGCTCTTTAGACTCAACAGTGACGTCAAAAGCAACCCCTCTAAGTCTAATTTGATTGAAAGAACCCTAATTGCTTTTTTCAAACGATTACGGGCTTTTAAATGCAGTAAGTAGACTAGATATTTTGTTAAAGATAGCTTCGATATTACTTTTGTGGTTTACTTAAATTGAGAAAGTAAAAAAAAACTATTGAAGTTTGATCTATAGCACTCTGAATCGAAGATATATATGTCAATTCCAGTATCTATACTATTATAAAGAGGAAACATTTGTATTTTTGTTAAAGTTGAAATAAATCAAAAAGTACTAGGCCGATTTCAAAATTTTTTCCAGCGTTTGAAAGGTAATTTATCTGTGAGTAATACAGGCTATATTTTTTATTATTATTTCATGCACGCGAAGTCGCGAACAACAGTTAGTAGCTAAATATGCGCATCTAGATTTGAAGAGGCGGCATTTTCTAGCCCTAGTTGATACAATTCTAGTAATTCCTCCATGCTTTAAAACAGCTGTATAATGGTGTTTGTTCTGCTTTCACCTCAAAGCAGTAACAATAATAAATAAATAACAATAAGCTTTCGTATAACACTGGAAATATGAGTCAACAATCGCTATTCGTTGTCCATAGACAATCGATAGATTTATAGATCTTACTAGCAACCCGCAACTCCGTCGACGTGGTATTTAAAAAGTAGCCTATGTGTTCTTCCAGACTGTCCTCTACATCTATGCCAAATTTCATCGTAATCAGTAGAGCAGTTTATGCTACAAACTCTAACAAACATCCATCCATCTAAACTTTCATATATATAATATTAATAAGATAAAGAATTAGGAAGATAATCGATACAGATATACATATTTAGATCTTTATTATTTTAAATCTTTCAAACACAGTTATTATGTTGTCCCTTAGTCAGCAATTAACATCTTTGCGTCATAACAGTAAACCACATTTTTAAATGTACATCAAAATTCTCAAATACACATTCGAAGGAATAAACTACATATATCTATCTTTACTAATATAATAAAGCGTAAACAACAAAAACTTCGTGGCATAGGGTGTCAACAATCACACCATATTTAAATAGTTCTTACTTTATTAAAAGCTCTACACTTTACACGCTTTAGGCTACATATTTTAACGCCATTAATATTAGGGGGTAAATATTTTGGACAATAACCCTAATGTGGGAAAAAGACAATAAGTTGCTGCCAACATCAAGGAAGCAAGGTTATAATCATGTCATGTCATTTTGTCATTAGTAATTGATAATTTGACAAATATAAACAATAAAAGTTTTTATAATTTCAAGAGGGTGAAGCCGCACGGGAACAGCTAGTCATATTGTAAGCTAGTATATCCTGTGAACGGGTGCATTCAAAGGAAGCACACTTCATTAATTCATGCCCCGTATACTCGTGCACAATGGTAACACGAAGTGTCTTATGCAACTAAACAATGACATTTTATTCACTAGCTTTCGCCCGCGACTCCGTCTGCGTGGAATTAAGAAAACAAAAGTAAGTAGCATATGTGTTCAGCTGGATTATCCTCTACATCTCTCTCAGCAGTTTCGACTAAATATACTTCAACATCCATCCATCTAAACTTTGGATGCCGTTAAAAAAAATTTTTTTTCAACACTCAACTTTTAATATAAACTAGTTATATAAATTACAAAAAGCTACGTATCCCTCGGGAACCGGACATTTCTCTGGGATGAAGCTTATCTCATGTGTACTCCAGACTTTGTTTTATATCTGTGCCAAATTTCAATAAGATATGTTGAACCGTTGCAGAATGATCTAGTGAACATTAAAAAACTAAATTAATGAATCCCACGGGACTCCTAACTATTCACGGGATAAAAAGTAGCCTATGTGTACTTCCAGACTATGCTCTGAACCTGTGCCAAATTTCATGGAGATCCGTTCAGCCGTTTAGGCTACAAACGCTAACAAACATCCATACATCCATCTAAACTTTCGCATTTATAATATTAGTAAGAAGTAAGATTTAATGAGAAATCAACAATAAGTGGTCGTTTAAAATGTTATTTAAAATTATTTCTGTTATTTTGATTTTACTGTTGTTACAGAAATAAAAGTACAAATACGTAAGTACCACAGACTAATTGAACACACTTTTTTATCTGTTGACATTCTTTACAGATAAACAATTACCGAGTCGGTACATATTAGTAAATTCTTAAGAGAACATAAAATTACATTCACAGCAATATTTTAAACGATTTTCCTTGAGTGTAATATTGATATTATGAACTTTTAATTAACGACTTGCACTCATTTGTTTTTGACCGACTTCCCAAAAGGAGGTACTCAATTCGTCTGTATGGTTTTTTTTTTAATTTATAACCATTAAAGTTTGATGGATGGATGTTTGTTAGAGTTTGTAGCCTAAACGGCTGAACGGATTACAATGAAATTTGGTATAGATGTAGAGGATAGTCTGGAAGAACAAATAGGCTACCCACTTTTGTTTATTTTTAATTCCACGCGGAAGGGGTCACGCGAAAGCTAGTGGCTCAATAGATTTCGTTTACAGGCATATGGAATATAACCTGAAAACTGGTTACTAGTAAAGCTTTTTTTCTAATCTATTTGCATATCAAAGCGTAAAAATGACTTCCATATCACTATTGACAACTAACAGAATAGTTAACAAATGTTATCATGCTTACTTCTGTTTATTGTTAAGGTATTTTTTTAATTAGTTAAGATTTCATCATACAATATTTTAACTATTGTTATATCTGATTTAAATTAGTATTTACTATAACTTCAATTATGACGGTAGATAGGTAATACTTAATTAAAATATTAAGCGTTATAGGTAATTTAAACGACATACCTTAGTAGGAAATGTTATACAAACCTGTCCTTCTCTTACAGTAGCCAGGAAATACGTATACAAGCTTTATAATACGTAAAATTACGTTAAACAAATTATTATAAAACTACCGACAAATATCTTAGAAATGCTTAATTTCTCGACTTGTTTTAAATTATTACATTTAATTTTCATTTTATACAAAATAATAAAAAGTTCTGTTACTTACCGAAAAAATCCTCCCAAGTCATAGAATGATCTGAGTCAGCGTTCGCCCCGTCCATCTTCGAGCCTCTCGTATAACATGCGTTAACTAGTCATTATGCAAATAAAACTGCTTAATTGTATAACAATATAACAAAATACACGACAACAAACTTTCTTATTTCACCAAACACATTGTTATATTGAAAGTATTTGTTTATAAACAAAAAAACATTGCGCTCGATACAAACGCGATCGCATCGAGCACGGAGAATCACATACACAACCACAACGCGGCGACGCCGAGTCGTGAATGAAATGAAATTGAAAAAGTTTGTGTGGCAAAGGCAACGTCTGCAATCCGCTTGATCTATAAGTTCACAGCCTTTGTAAATTATTTTACGTCGTTTTAAAAAACCAGTAATGGTATGATATTAAAAAAAATATCCGATTTATTACAAATACAGTTCGTGGAATTAAATTGCATTCGTTGTGTACTTTTAGATATGATATTTTTGATTTAAAGTGAAAAATACTATACCTTATACGAATTATACCTGTAGATAAGTAGGAAGTAGTTTTATATAGGACCTGTTTAAATAGGTAAACTGTTTAGTTTTTTTTTTAAAATCACGCGGGTTTTATCACCTTTCATCTTGACACTTTTGTCAAATGTCATATGTTTTCGACCACAGACTACAAAACTGTAAGCAAACAGTAAGTTAACTTTCTTTGGATTCTCTGTCTGTAATAAACAAAAAAGGTTAATCTAACAACTAAAATAAATAATTTTTGTTGGAAAAAGGTTTTCGTTTTAATTTTTTTTCACAGTCAAACATTTTGTTTATTTAAAAAAACTAAAACCTTGCGTCATCTGTGGCCTGAAGAATCGGGAGGCAATAATGTACAGCCACGATAATGCACGCCCCAATAATGCACGGCCCAATAATCCGTGTACAAATAAAGGGATTTGTTTGTACACGGATTACATGGAATATCGGGTCGTACATTATCGGGCCGTACATTATAGGGATCCGTCAGGGGGGTGACACCGGCAAACTAAATGATTGAAAAAAATTGGCACGGTGATCAACATCATCTAGCGTACAAGGCTAGGTAGTCATGTAAAACGTTTCAATGAGACTAGATGGCGTTAAAAACCAGCCAGTTACTCTTAATGGCTACAAAACTCTTTGATAGCAGCACAATACTGTGTTAAAATTAAAAGCAAAAATAGTTTTGACGTATAAACGTCACAAATTTTACAAAACTAAAAACGACTAAGCAATTAATTATAAATACATAAATTAATTATTAAAGAAAATATCTGATGTGCCCAAAAGCCTGCGATAATTGTTATTTCGATTGTAAGCTGAGTTTGTAATAGAACTGAAATTGTATATAGAATGTAATAATCATAGTTAATTTAGAATAGTTGTCGCGGAAAATTATAACAATACTTGTTATTACAGAAAATATCTATAAGTGCAACAACATGGACAGAAAAAAAGTTGTATCGAAACGGCTACAGTTTTAACGTATCAGGCCACTAAAAACTTTGCGACAGGTTTGTGCCAGTGATTTTATGATGAACATTAGTAGCAAGTACCATAGTATCAAATTCGAAAATCACATGGTACACACATTGGTACTAATGTACCATGTGATTTTCGAATTTGAACAAATTGTCCTAACGATATAATTTAGAATTAGAATTAGAGGTTGGTGACTACATAATCAGCGGGCGATAATTAATAACCCATATTATAGTAAAAATTTTAACTCAGTCAGGCCGAGTTGTTAGTGCCTTGTCACAATGTTTAAAAGTACCAACTGTTCGCAACTTCACTCATGCACAGTTTGCTACGCGAGCGAAACTGACGGCGGTAATTAGTAGTGTATAATATGTTGAATAGTAAAATTTGTTATGCTTTCTTGCTTGGTTCTCTGCATTGTTTCGCCAAGACTGGCTGTTTAATAGAAATATTGGAAATCTGGAAAACGCTGTTCGAGGACGTCACTATTGAAAATGGAAATATGTACATGTATGATATATAACCAATTGGGGTTACGCAATAAACGTTTAATTCCAACTTTGGGTTTCTATTTTAGCAGATACTTACACCTCTCCCAATATATGTAAATATACACATTTGAAGTGTGTGTGGGTATGTGCGTGTGTGTGGGTGAGGGCGGCACTTATACGCCATCTCTTGAACAAGGCGAGGAAATAAACTGAAACGGCCGTGTCGCTTCTATCTCAGTATATATATGTATTATCTATGGGACCCGTTTCGTTTCTGTAACAACATGGCGAATTTGTAATAATAATATACAGGTTCATGAACTTGTTATGTATCTCCAAGAAGTATTTTCGTGAATGTTTTTAGTCGAATGTGTTAATTAAGGTTCAAGTTTCAAGTAAAATTAATATTGGAATATTGTTGACATCCAGAGATCATTTATGACAATCGTATATTTGGGTTTTTCTAACATTTGAGGTAATCATCTGTCGGTAAATTACAGTAACTTGTATTATTTTTAATTAATTCGCCTTGAACATAAAAAAATGATGCAACAGCTGTATACATTTGTTTATGTTCATTGCTACTAACAATTTTCAACGATCCAAAGGTAATGCTCGAATTTTGTTTTTTAAAACTTCAATAATAATAAAACAACGTTGATTTTTGTATGTTTTTGTAGTATGCCGCGTCGTGGTAACGAAATAGAGGCTCCGATAACACCTAAGAAGAAAAAAGTAACAGAAGAATGTGCAAGTTTAGACGTATCTTTCGTCGATGACGAAGCGTTACCTTCTGGTATTATCTTTACTGATGTCCAATCAAAGAAGTGGCGCATTGGAAAGCCTATAGGTAAGAACAATTTTGTGTACAAAATTTCAAACATTCATAAATCTTATTGGGTACCTTGGCATCCCAAACTGATGAGCTAGGAATGTCTAGAAGGAGGACAGCTGTTTTAAATGTAAAAAGAGTTTTATATCTATTTAACATTTTCGTCTCCAGAGGTATCTGAACCATCCTAGCTTCAGACGCAATGTCTATGCATGTTTAAACAATATTTTGTGTTAGCCTCAAAGGGAAAGTTGGAATACCAACAAACAAATATAGACATTACATTTAACTAGCAACATACTGTAATTTTGTATAAGTACTTAAATATAATGTACTGGCTGTTGCTTGTGACTTTGTCCACATGAAATAAAGGAATAGTATGAAAAATATATTCCATGTTATTCAGCGATAACATAGCTTCTTAATGGTAAAAGATTTTTTAATCTGCCCAGTAGTTTTTGAGTTATTACAATACATACATACAAAAATACAAATCTTTCCTCTTTATAATATTAGCTATGTTATGATATAAGAATTATACAGTTCATTATTAGTGTAAATTATAACATGCAAATACTATATTAAGAACAGTGAGTTGGTAGCACTTATCCTGTAAGTTCTTGAGTGTAAACCAGAAAGTGTTAAGATTGAATGTGGATGGCTACAAAGGTAGGGGAAGACCGAAGAAAGTATGGATGGATTGGGTAAAAGAGGATATGCTTAAGAAAGGAGAGGATTCAGATATGACTGCTGATAGAGATATGTGGAAGAGAAGCACATACTGTGTAGACCCTTTGTAAGGGATAAGGGCAAATGGATGATGATGATGAACCAGAGTTTTAATATTTCCGATCAAATTATACATATATGTAACTGAAATCAGAGCAAATTTAATATATCTATTTTTAGACAACTTATTTAATTGATACTGTCGCTTTTAACTCAGAGCAATACTTCTCGTCAAGACCCAAGTTACGCGCCAATCTATCCATACTTCTAGTGACATTGACAGCTGTCAGCTAGGGACGTGACGTTTATGCCGATAATCTAGAGTTGCGCCAACTCTACAGCACGGTACTAATTTTGTTCCTAACACTATGTTAATTTCTATTTTGCAGGTCGTGGGAGTTTTGGTAGAATTTACCTTGCATCAAATGATGTGGATAAAGAAGTAACAAAACAAAATGCCAGATATGTTGTGAAGATTGAACCACACACAAACGGCCCACTGTTTGTCGAAATACATTGCATGATTAGAACAGCACAAGCATCTAAAGGTAATTAATTAAAAAACTGCATTAGATCAAACTTTCAATCTTGTATGATAATGATGTTTGTTAGAGTTTGTGGCCGAAACGGCTAAATGGATCTCGATGAAATTTGGTATTAATGTAGATGATATCCTGGAAGAACACAAAGACTATTTGCTTTTGTTTTTAATTTCACGACGGCGAAGTCACGGGCAACAGCTGTTATTCATATCTTCTAAAAAAGTTAATAGATCTCAATGACTTTGCTCATAGTTGTAGAAACTGGCTGGTAACACAAAGCCTACATACTAAATGTTTTTTAATTCCTTATGGATAGAGACTTGGGCAAAAGCTATTTTTCCAATAATAATATTCTCCTTGAAGGTCATATAGTAATAGTTTTTATCAATACAATATTTAATTGTAAAATGTCTATTTCAGTTAAAACATGGTGTCAAGAAAATAAACTGAAGCGAATTGGTATGCCTATTTATATAGCAAGTGGATCTTTTACTGAAGAAAGTTCCGGAATAAAATACAGATTTCTAGTATTACCAAGATATGATATTGATTTACAAAAAATCATAGCTCGGACCAGAACTTTGGATTTAAAAAATGTTTTAGTACTTTCTATACAGATATTAGATGTGTTAGAATATTTACATAACCAAGGTTACACACATTCAGATATTAAAAGTTCAAATTTAATGATCGGTTTTGACAGTATTAAAGTTATAAAAGCGGCAACTCCAAAAGCAACTCAAAGCTTTCAGAAAAACACAAAACACGTTCTTGTTGCCGATAAGCATAAGAATAAACCAAATCGTTCTCGTTCTTCTAATTATTATGATGACGAAGATTTTATTGTTAGACAAAGAACAGATATATGTAATGAAGACAAAAGATTGGTTGTTGTTAAGAAAAAATTAAAGAAGATCCTTACTGAAAAAGATAAAAAAAAATACAGAAATCATGCTTTTAACTTGAGACATTTATCTAATTACGTAAACTATGAAGATTTAAGTTCAGTGTGTTCTGATCGTTCGTATCAAAAACTATTAGATGATTACGGTAATAAAAGATTACTCTGTGTGGTTGAAAAGATAAAAGATGAGAGAACTACGGAGAATAAAGATTTAGAATTACAATTAGATGAAATATATAAAGATGCTGTTTTATCACAATCTAATGGACAAATATATCTTTTAGATTATGGTCTTGCTTCGAAATTTTTAGATTCCGATGGTAATCATCGAGATTTTGGTATGGATGCAAGAAAAGCTCATGACGGCACTCTAGAGTATAGTTCCAGAGATTCTCATATCGGTGCTCATTCTAGAAGATCTGATTTAGAAACTTTAGGCTATAATATGCTGGATTGGCTCACAGGAACATTACCTTGGAAAACACCGAAGGTTCTTGCTGAACCAGATTTAGTACATGCGGTAAAGAAAAACTTCATGAATGATGTAAAAACTTTACTAAAGACATGTTTTAAAACGGAATTTTATCCACAATTTATGGAGAAATATCTTCAATATATCACTAGTTTGGATTTCACAGAGAAACCTGATTATGATTATTGTAGAAATTTGTTTAAAAGTGAATTGATACGAAACGGTTATGCATTTGATAAAGAAATGAATGTCAATTTCTCCGAGCCGTCTCTATCACCGATTAGTCGAAGTAAATTAAATTATTCAAAGAGATTTGGTAGAAAAAACACGCCACCAGATTTCGTATCCAAGAATGGTATTAAAAAAACATACGAGAGAGAGAATTTATGCTCTTTAGAGAATGGTCTTAAATTGGAATTATTGAAGCATACATTGAATACGTCTAGTGAAGGTGTACGTAAACCTTGTTCTTCGCGAAACTTCTTCATATCTGACGCAGATTTAGTTGCCCGTTTGAAAAAATCTTTAATGCCGCACGATGTGGTAGGAAAGAAATTGTCTCCTAAAAATTTGAGATCCAAACAGAACGTAAAACGTAAAGGTGCCAGACTGCATAGGAATAGTGTTGGAAAATTCGGTAACTTAATGGGATCAGCGAAACAGTTTACTTGGGCTGAAATATTAGCTGGCAACCCGGAGGATATTATTAGGAAGGATCGTAACCCTGTTAGTGAAGATGAAACCACTAAATATAGAATTAGAAAACTATCGGATGCATCAAATTATGAAACAACCCTTCAGTCACCGTTAATGCAGAAAGATTACCTACAAGGTTTAAACCCTACATATGCTATGAAGGAAGTAATAGCAAATTTCAAGAGGAAACTTTCCGGAAAGAATAAAATACAAGAAGAATGTCCGCCTGGCTTAGAAGGATATACTCCAATAATGATAAAATTATACAAATTGAAAGAAAAGAGAGAAGCTAAAGAGAAATTTGATTTACTAAAACAGGATTCTGATAGTAAGGAAATAATAAAAGAACAGAGATGTACAAGGTCCATGACTAAAATTGAGATTCCAATAAGAAGGTCTACAAGAAATAAACCAATCAATACTAACAATGTGAAGACCTCGGAAAACAATTCCGAACAAATGCCTGTTATTATTAAAAATGCAAACAAAACTCCAAGAACAAGGAGTGCAGGAAACAAAAAAGAAATTACAATTTCAAATACTAAGAAGCCTGCCCAAACAAGTATGTATATAAAATTCTTACTAATCTTTACTAATATTAGCTGACTAAAGGCCTCCATTCAGCATAGCAAACATAGTAAAAAATTTATTCATTACTTTTATATTTACTAATGTGTGTATATAATTTTTTTTTTGTGTATCTTTGTAACATTTTCCCGTTAATCAGATTTGTTTTCAACTGTGTAATTAAATATGTAGTGTTTGCTTTATGAATGGTTTAAATGATTATTAATATTAATATATTATAAAGAGGAAAAATTTGTATTTTTGTATGTATTCAATAACTCAAAACTAATCGGCAGATTTTAAAAATTCTTTCACAGTTAGAAAGTTAATTTATCTGTGAGTAACATATGCTGTATGATTTATTATTAATTAATTTCAAGCGGGCGAAGTCGCGAGTTACATCTAGTTAATTATAAATGTCATAGGATAATATCTGTGTATTGATCTGGAAAATAGCACAACTCTCAAAGAAACCCCTTAATCGCTCCATTATGTCACTTTCTAAGTACCCATAAAGTTAATTCCGCACAGATGGAGTCGCGGGTAAAGCAAGTATTTTATATTTGCCAAAGTCCATTCCATATGTATCTTTTATTATCCACTGTTTTTTAATTTTAAATTTATTTCTTTTCAGGAACGAAAACTAAAACAGTTGTTCTGAACAGACGAAGGTTAAGGAGCAGTAAACGTAAGAAGAGTAAATAGGAAGTTTTCTATTTTTAATCTTTCTGATCTAAAACCTTTGGCTTAAAGGTTGACCTAGCATAAGTACAATGGTAAAATTTGAAAAAAAGTACTGTTTCTTCAGTAATAATTACAACATATTTTAGACATTTAAATTGTCTTTCTTGTGTCTTATTAATTAATAAAATCTTTACATTAAGTATTTTGTTGGTTATTTGCCGATCTTAAATTCAAATGTGTAAAAAAAATCTGTAAAATAGACTGGAATTTGCAACAATGCAATTCGTTTATTATATAGGAGTAAGTTTGAGATTTTGACAGTTACTTTGTACGTTCGTCACTTATTTTCTGAAGTTTGTGCATTTAAGGAAACGTCGCCTTTAGGTTTTGTTTTTCTTAAGATAATTTTCATCAATAAATCCTTTTGTTTTTCATGGTTTGTCTTTTATTAAGTATCCACTCACTGATATTCATTTATAAGGCATTGAACAATTTTGCAGGAAATCCAAAAGGGATCAAAGTCCATCAAGGCCTCAAGCATTTTTTCAATTTAATTGATAGTTAAAACGAATTGTTTTTTTTCTGGCTGTGAAATAACAAAAATTCCTTATTATTTTTAATGTTGGCAGTTCTGATTTTTACCAATTCCTTCGTCGCTGTCACGATGACAGACAGCTATTTGATTTTGAGGTTAGTTATCAATCGAGTGTCAGTTCAAGTCAAGATTGCTGATTGCAAGTGATAGTAAAATGACTTGACTGAATTTAAATTCATTAATTTTATACAAATACTTGTCCACTACAGTGTTAGTGACAAGTTGTTTAACTATTCGTTGTAATTTTACCGCTCTTACACATAAAAGTTTCGAATGCATTAAGTGTGCAATTTCGTGAAATTGAATGAAAATAAAGTTTGTATAAATAATTAGGTATGGAAAGTGAGAAAACAAATGTGGTCCGTGTGGGATCTAGGAAAAGCGAGGTTTGTATTCCACTAATGTTATTTGATTTTTTCAATTGGAATATATGTTACGTGAACTTCCGTCAAAGGCCGAGGTCTTAACCTATATTCGTAATCAAACGTTCCGTTGAGGAGTAACAATTTTAAATAGCTTCGTATCAAATATAAAAAATATGAAATATGCACTTTGACCATATAAATTCACAGATATTGAGCATGTTTTGCATGTTGCCATATCTATCAATAGTGAATCTTGAATCATCACCTCACGAAACGTCCGCGCTGAAGGGCTCAGAGCCTACCCTTAGTTAGGGGTCTGGTCAACTGTAGCTTGACTTCACACATGTCATTAAATTATAAGATATTTGCAGACATTACAATATTTTCTTTCATTTAAAATGTTTGATAAAAAAACATATAAACACCCTGTCGGTTTTTTGTGCTGCTCCAAATAGTTTTATTACATTTTTAAATTTGGTTCTTGTCCGATAGATTAAAAAATTTAACATATTGGTACAAAGTGGGATTCAAACCCAGGTCTGGCAGATAACAAGTCAAGTACCCCTTAACCACTGATTCCATGTATTGCAGTGTGAATAATTAATGCCTAGGAAAACCTTTTATGTCAGTCATGAAATGTGTTTTCTGACTGCATAATTCTTTACAAGTAGTTAAATAAGTAATAAATAAGTTATTAAGTCAAGTAATTAAATATGTATTAGTTAAACATAATGTTATAAAATATTTACTCATTATATAACAATTTTTCCAGTTGGCACTTATTCAGACAAACTTTGTCATAGATAGTCTGAAAAAAGTATACCCTGATAAGGAATTTATAATAGGTAAATATCTTTTATTTTTACCAATTTTACTAATATTGTAAATTTGAATGGTGGATGGATGGATGTTAGAAGGTATCTCCTAAACTGCTTAGTTAGGTATAGTAGAGCTTAGTCTGGACGAACACATAGGCTTTTGTTTTTTCTACAAAGTCAAAGACATTCGCAAGCAACAGCTAGTGTGTCATATTTTGTATAAAAATTAGGCAAAGCAGCAGTGGGATGCCTAATGTATATTGGTCTAATGTCCATAGACATGAAAACCAGAGGAACTACAAATGTATTACTGGCCTCTAATAAAATATAAAAAAACTAACCAACAATTTCTTACAAAATTAGTTCAAATAAGGATTTGTCTCTGGATCTAGTTATAATTGTGTTTCAGAAGATATCCATTTTTAATTGTTGGAAAAGTATGCTTAAACAATTTGTTTTAATCTACTTCAAAAAGGAGGTTCTTAATTTCAATTTTTTTTCAGTATCTATGACAACATTGGGAGATAGAATACTCAATGTGTCATTGCCGAAGATTGGAGAGAAATCTCTATTCACAAAGGATCTAGAAGATGCACTCAGGAATAATTCTGTTGATTTTGTTGTACATTCACTTAAGGATTTGCCGACTACTTTACCTGATGGCTTAGCTATAGGTGCTGTGTTTGAACGGTGAGTCAAGTTAAAGTTACATACTTAATGTTTTCTTGTAGGAAATATGGTAGTTATTACTTATGTTCCTAATAAAGTAAAACCTCGATAACTCAAAATTCGGTAACTTAAAAACCTCTATAACTTTAGAAAATAATATGTTCCCTTCCCATCAGAGCCCAAAACCTCTACAAGATAGACCCTTGATAACTTAAAACCTCTATAACTTAAAGTATTTTCTGTTTCCCTTGGACTTTAATTTATCGGTTCTACTGTATTACCAATCTAAAATATTGATTTGAATTGATAGTGGCTTGTTTTAAAATATGTACAGTGAGCTACATAAAACATGACATATTAAATTGTAACAGTTATGACATTTTAAAAACATGTATAAACTTGTGGTTTTAAAAATATATGCATTAGTTGGAAGCATGTAGTTAGATGTAGCTGTAAATAATTTTCAAACTGAAATTGTATATGTTTTCGAAGTTTTGTAAATGAATATATATTTGTATAGCTGACTGTACTTCATAAAATCGATACTTCTGCAAAATTTGCATGTCATCATTATCTTGCAAACATGTTTTTGTCATAATGATTGTATAATTTTGACTGAAATTAACAGATAACATAATAAATTGTATTTTTTCAATTTTTTTTTTATATTTTGTCTCTTGTAACTTGATCTGTTTCTCTTAAACTCGTTACTTGAATTTTTAATGTTAGCTTCTTTCTTCTACAAACCATTTATGGGCCTTGGCTTTGTCCAGAAACTTCTTCAATTTCAGCCTATCTCTGGCCACGGTCCTCCAGTTTACAACGCCATCGTTTTTCGCATCTCGCTGCTTCCTAGTTCGATAAAAATTCAACATGAATTGAACGCATTTATATTAATAAAAACATTTCCTTCATAACAACGATAAAGCGAATCTTGCATTTGCACGATAAGTTATCAAGTTATTGGACTCATTTTAAATCAAACTCCAGTTTTATTTATAAGAAAAGGCCAAACGGTCGTCTGATAAATGTTAACGACAATGGAAACCCATTTTTATCTATACTATTATAATAAAGCTTAAACACACACTTCTTGGTTGCCTAAAATGTCAGCAATTACAGCATATTTTTGAATTATTCTTTTTTTGATAAAAAGCCCTACACTTACATCATGCTTTAGGCTATATATTTTCATACCATTAAACTTAGGGGTTAAATATATTGGATAAAAACCCTAATGTGGGAAAGGGACTATAATTTGCTGCCAACATCCAGGAAGCAAGATTGTCAAAGTTTGTCATGTCATGTCATTTTGATATTTGCTATTGATAATTTGACAAATGTAAACAATAAAATAAAGTTTTCACAATTTCATGCGGATGAAGCCGCACGGGAACAGCTAGTACTAATCTAAAACAAAAGAAAAGTGTTAAAACCTACGTTCTATATTCTTTCTATACCTTCTGTACGTATAATAAAATTGGAGTGTCTGTAATATCAAAAGAAAAATAATTAAATGTCGGAAAGATGTATTTGAGTTGCTGATAACGAAAATCGCATTTAAAATTTTTTTGTCTGTCTGTCCGCAAGCTGCGTTTATTTTACGCAATGAAACGGCTGGGCCGATTGCGACTGGACTATCACTGAAGAGTAGCTGATATAGACGGGCATATTATAGACTACTTTTTTTTTTAATATTGCGAAGTAGGGCAAGAGCTAGTTGATAATTAAACTGATTAAAAAATAGAACATAATTTTTTTAATTGCACAAATAACTTAAAAAGTGAATTTTAAACTTTCTAGGTTTTTATTATGCTTATCTTAATGACAACTTTAAATAGTAAAACATTTATTACAACTTAGTTAAATATGTTGAGGTAATTACATTGGTTACCAAGTAATTTAGTACCGACCTTCTTTGTAGAATGGTGAAATCGACTTTTTATTAGGATCATTAGTTACAAAGGAAATAATTACGTTTTATTTGTTTACAGTTAACTTTAATATTATGCATACAATTCGAATATTTATGCACGTGAATTGAAACTTTTTGAAATCTACAATTCTATTATACCTCATTTTAAAATACCTCTAATGGTTTAGGCAGCGTAAGCCGAATAATGTTAAAGTTTAAGGAATTTTTAACCGTCCAGAAACACGCTGTTTATTAATAGTTCCTAAACATTAGTAATAATAAAATATAGCCTATTGTTACTCACAGATAAATTATCTTTCTGATGATGAAAGAATTTTTAAAATCGCCTCAGTGGTTTTTGAGTTATTTCAATACATACAAGAATACATAAAAACAAAGTTTTCCTCTTTATAATATTAGTATTGAGTAGTCAAGATGTCTAGATATGAATAATTGTGTTTATAAAATTCTATTTGCATTTTTTTTTGTTGAAATCTACTTTTTGTTATAGTAGTCAGGTTTATTTAATGTCACTATTTGTTACAGAGAAGACCCAAGAGATGCATTGGTACTACGAGAGGATTTAAATACGCACACTTTGAGTACTTTACCATCAGGATCTGTTATAGGTAAATAATTGAATACCCGTCAATAGCCTAATGGTTTGGGGTACGGACTACCGATCTTGAGGTCGAGGGTTCGAATCCCGCCATTCGACTATTATCGTGAACCATAGCCTAGCGCAAGCCTAGAGCTTAGTTGGAATGGTTAAAGGAAATATTAGTAAATAAACAAAAACCTACTAATATATTTATTTAAAAAAAAATCGATGTCTAAACTCCGTACTTACTGTAGAGTACTTCCTTTTTTAATTCTACATGAAATCGAATTGTTTCCTTTCACAATGTTGGTAATACAAAGATAATGATTTGATTACTCTTGACAGTATTGTGATTTTTGTCCCTAGTATGACGGTTTTTTCCAATTTATTTAACTCCTAAGGTTAATAGCGTGGAAATATATAGCCTAAAGCGTGCCGTTGTTTGTAGGTTTTTTTTTTATTAAAGAAAGAATTATTCAAAAATATGCTGTGATTGCTGACATCCTACGTAACTAATTGGTTTGTGTTTACGCTTTATTATATTCGTATAGATTTTAAACACGCTTATTTTCTATCAAGTAAAGCCAGAAAACCTCTTAAAATCATAATCATACAATAACAGTACGAAAAAAAGCAATTTTTAAACCATTCATAGATTAAGTAACTATAAAACGGCCAAAGAGTAGTTCACGTTACCCTTTTGTTAGAAAATCTATCTATACTATTATAATAAAGCCTAAACACACACTTCTTTGTTGCCTAAGATGTCAGCAATAACAGTATACTTTTGAATAATTATTTTTTTTAAAAAGCCCTACACTTACGTCACGTTTTAGGCTATATTTTTTAACGCCATTAAACTTGGGGCTGAATATTTTGGATAAAAACCCTTACGTGGGAAAGAGACCATAAGTTGCTGCCAACATTAAGGAAGCAAGGTTGTCATCATGTCATGTCACTTGACATTTGCTATTAAGAATCTGACAAATATAAACAATGAAATAAAATTTTTAAAATTCCATGCGGATGAAGCCACACGAGAACAGCTAGTAGATAGATATAGATGAATTAGTAGAGTCTTTTGTATATGGATTTTTTTTTAATAGACTTTTTAAAAGTATAACCACAAATATTTACTTCACAGGTACCTCCTCACTTCGTCGTACAGCACAGTTAAGAGGATTATATCCGCAATTGTCTGTGATCGATGTTCGAGGAAACTTGAACACTAGGCTGAAGAAATTGGATGCACCAAGTAAAGAATATTCTGCGTTACTTCTTGCTAATGCTGGACTGGAAAGGATGGGATGGGGGAATAGAGTTTCTAAAGTGAGTAATATAGATTTTTAAAGCTATACTAATATAAAGAGGAATAATTTGTATTTTTGTATATTAAAATAACTCAAAAACCTACGGGGCCGTTTTTTCGATCAAAATTCAGCTGTTTTGGCTACAAGCTCTAACAAACATCCATCTAAACTTTCACATTTATAATATTAGTATGATTTCCAAGTACCAACATCTATTACAAAGTATAGTGGTAATTAAATTGTCAAATGTTACTAATAGAAAAATTTATTCCAGATATTACCGTGTTCAGAAATAATGTACGCGGTAGGTCAAGGGGCGTTGGCAGTAGAGTGTAGAGCAAATAATGAAGATATATTACAAATGCTTGCTCCCTTCAATCATCCGGAAACTTATTGTAGAGTGCTAGCGGAGAGGAGTTTTCTTAAAACATTGGGTAAGTGTTATTTGACTACTCAGGTGAACTAACAGAGTTTAAAATTTACGGGATAAGTAAATTAATAAGTCTGCCAATACTTAAAAATTAAGTTTGTTTTAATATACTAATGTAATATTATTACATAAATGTTATAAAAAATCATAAAATTGTTTATGGCTAGTCATACTAATTCTTACTGATATTATAAATGCACATATTGTGATGGATGTTTGTTGGAAGGTAACTCCAAAACGGCTAAATGAATCTATGAAATTAGAAGAACATAGACTACTTATTATGTTTTTAAAAAATTTAACCCTCAGGAACCTGACATTTTCAGGCATTTGTATGTCATTTTTACTACAGACTTTGTTTTGTATCTGTGTCAAATTTCAATAAGATATGTTGAATGTTGCAGAATTATCGAGTAAACATGAAAAACCAATAATAATGTCATCATCATCAACTTGCCCTTATCCCTTATGGAGGGTCGGCACAGTATGTGCTGCTCTTCCATACATCTCTATCAGCTGTCATATCTGAATCCACTCCTTTCTTAAGCATATCCTCTTTCACACAATCCATCCATACTTTCTTCGGTCTTCCTCTTCCTTTGTAGCCATCCACATTCAATCTCAACACTTTCTGGTAATAAACCAATAATAATGTATCACACGGAAACCGTAACTATTTTCGGGATAAAAAGTAGCCTTTGTGTTTTCCAGGCTATGTTCTACATTTATAACAAATTTCATTGAAATCCGTTCTGCAGTTTATGCCACAAATCTAACAAACATCCATCCAAACAAACTTTTATATATGTAATATTACTAGCTTTTGTATGCGACTCTGTCCGCTTGAAATTAAAAAAAAGCAAGTAGTAACGTGTTCTTTCAGACTCTACATCTATACCAAATTTTATCGAAATCCTTTCGGTATAGGCTACAAACTAACAAACATCCATCCATCTAAACTTTCGCATTTATAATATTTGTAAGAAGTTAGTAAAATATTTATTTTCCTGATGTTCCTAGGCGGTGGTTGTAGTGCCCCAGTAGGTGTTTCAACTAAATTAAAAAACTCAGACTCCCAATACAAGTTTACGATAGATGGCGCTGTATGGAGTATGGATGGAGCGACAAAGATATATGAAACATTAGAGTTAGTGTTGCCACAAATAAAAAAGACACAAAAACATAAATTAAGTCCAACGGAAGAAACTGATTGTAAAAAATTAAAAAAAGAAGAAAACGGAGCTCCGAAGGGACTTGATGCTGTTTTAGAATTAAATAGAAGAATATCTGAAAGAGAAAATAATGTAAATTGTGAAGATACAAGATCTATGGAGGAGATTGCCAGTTTAAAATGTCCAATGTTTTGTGGTTTGTCTGAGAATAGCAACATTCCTATTGATGTTATTGAGAAATGTGAAAAATTAGGTAAAGATTTAGCCAATAATTTGATATCTAAAGGTGCTTTAGAAGTTATGAAAGTAACACAAGATTATATAAGAAGTGCGGCTCAAAAATCTTGATTGTTGATTTTATTTTTATCTATGTTAGATACAGGGAATTGTTTATATTATTCATTTAAATCTATATTGATTCCTTCGTGACATTTAACATAACCTTTTTTGTGTCAATAGTGTTGCCATTATTTAGTATTTTATATTTATTAGTAATTATTATGTTTTTATTTAGTAAATACCTATATTTATGTTACATTCGGGTGCAGTTCATATTTTTAATGTTTTTTTTTTGTTATTTAAACAAAAGAAAAATGTTGAAAATGTGCACAATTTAAAATATTACAAAGAATTAGAGCTCGCTTGAACGTGTAAAATATGTGAAGGAAATATCAGAATTTGGTCCATTATCTGATAGTAACATCATTTTTAAGCTATCTGAGCCTCAATCAGCTAGTCTTGGGACAGGTCTTAAATTTCTAAAACTTGTACATATGGAAAAGACATGTTTTAATATATTATTCCTACTAAAGTTGTGGAGGCTGATAAAATTTATAACAATTTATTGATGACTACGTAAAATATCGTAAGTCACGAGTACTAAAACTACACTAAGCGTTCTTAAGTGGCAGCGAACCTTATAAAATTATCTATAAGGGGTGATGTTAGCTTTGTATTTTTGTTATTCAAGTACTTATTATAGTAAAGTGCCCAACATATTCAGTTTTAGTCAAATTTAGGAGGTATATAAATTTTATACTTGTATTATATTATTACTTCTATAAGGCTATAAAGAGACTTAATAACATAGATGCTTGTGTCATCAATTTAAATACTGATTTTCCAAAATCCATAGACAATATGACATTGTCAATGGAAAGTGTAAAATTTCGCATTTCTGTTAAATTCGATTATTCACTGTGCTGTTTTAGTACTAAAATGGAATTAAGCTGCCTACCCTTTATTTGAATGCTGGTGCAAATTTTACTTATGTTGGGACGTTTTGTATCAAAGTACTTATGTATAGTTGTATTGTTGAAAATAAAACTGGTGAGTGACATGGGATTTATTTTTATTTTATTTTTTTAATTTTTAATAATTATTTTTCCTATGTTCCTTGTTTAATTAAATTGTGCAAAATGTTTTGTTGCTGGCGACTTCGTCCACGTAAAATTGAGAAATAGTAAAAAAATCGCCTTTGTTATTGACAGATAAATTACATTTTTAATGGTGAAAGAAATTTTTACAATCGGCCCAGTAGTTATTACGCGAATTAAATACATACAAAAATATAAATCTTTCCTTTTTAAATAGTAAAGATTTGTAAGAATTTCTACTTTAACGGGATTTTATTAAATTAAACAGCAATAGTAATTCAATACTTTTATTTCACAATAAAAATTAATCGAAACAAGCATTCCATCATACCGGAACAAACACCTAAATAACATTAACAAAACTACTTAAAACATCCCTTTGAACATTTCTCCGAACATTCGAGACTTACACTCATTGTCTATGGTTAGAAAACTATTTGGCGGCAAACGAAAAAAACTGTTTTAATAAAAAAAAAGAAACATTTCCTTTAATCTCGTCAAAAGTAAAATAAAAATTTACTTTTAAAACAACAAAATAAAAGCATTTTTGTATAATCCAAATCAGATTTTTATTTGGTTATAGCCTAACGCTGACAGCCAATTTCGTAACTAACCTAAAAAAACTACACGATAAAGAACAAATTTACTTCTCCATGCCTATATTTAGTTTGCATTCAATCAGAATATACAAAAAAATGGCCTTTAAAAAATATATTATCTGCTACAACTTTAAATTTATTGCTGGCAATACACTTCAGTACAGATTAAATAAAAATATTAACAAAATCAGTATAAAACCATATAAAAAAACAAAGTGGTAAGTTTGTTTTAATTTGGAGTTGACTGAAAATATATTAGTTAAAGAATAAACTTCAATTTTCAATTAAGTGAAACCAAATTTAATTTATAGGCCAAGTAAAGAAGTCAAAATTGCTTTCAAGTGTCAGCTAACTTCTGACAGTGCGATTTACTCCACATCATCCTCATGCAACGAACTGCTGGCTTTCATCGAAGCACGGAGACGCTCAGAAACTTCTGGAAGCTTCTTCAGAAGCATATGGAAGATCGGAGCTGGCATCGTTTGTTGCAGTACCTGTAAGATGTTTATTTATATATCTAATTCCGCCGGACAGTCATGCCAGTGGAAATAGCACCCCTTGACATCAAAAGCAAAGACACTTAGAACTTAAGTTAAAAATAGCAAAATAGTATGTAAAAATCGATATCAATTTTCACTTCTATATTATAATGTATTAGCTAAAAAAACACTTAAAAATTTAATTATAATCAATACCAGTTTATGTTTTAATTTTTATGCCAAACTAAATTTGCCCGAGACTCCGTTCGCATCAAATTAAAAGACAAATGTAAGTAACCTAGGTGTTCTTCCAGACTATCTTCTACATCTGTGCCAAATTTCACTAAGATCCGTTCAGCCGTTTAGGCTACAAACTTTAACAAACATCCATCCATCTAAACTTTCCCATTTATAATATTAGTAAGAAGTAAGATGTTTACTAAGTACAATCCAGGAGTCTATCAGTGTCCAATTTTAAAACCTTCATTCTTTTGAACAGTTTGGACAAAGTTAGATACCGAACAATAGGAATTTCAAATGTCTCTATATAAGAATTCTTTTTAATACTTATTCATGAGGCAAAATTTAGCTCATCACAAGGAACAAGGTGATTTTCTGTAATTGGTACACTGCACATTTCCACAATTGTACATTGCTTTATCATTTTCACATTTTGTACAGACAAATCATCTACAACACAAATTTAGTTAAGAAAACAGCATATAAAAAACTAGTTAATTACAAAAAGAATAAAAGTCAGCCAGCTGTAACAATAACTAGTATGAAAGTAATAAACACTTTCAATGTACTCTACCATGAAAACAAGCAATTAAATTCAAATTTGTTGTATACAATTTGTACGATCACATTTAAAAAAAAACTAATTTATTGCTTCAAAATAATCAAACACCAAGAAAATATTTTTTTTTTTGTTTGGAAGTAGTAATTAGTTATAAATATTATAAATGTAAAAGTTATAGATGGATGTAAGGAGATATCGCCAGAAAAAGTGAACCAACCTAAATGTTAGTGTCAAACCAAAGGTGGAACATAGTCTGGAAGAACATGTAGTCTACTTTAGTTCTTTTTAATTCCAGGACAGAGTCACAGGCAACAGCTTTTCTTTTATAATAAAAGGGGGAAACAAGCAGCGTGAACACCGAGGTGGTCAACGACGCCCATGGACATACAACACCAGAGGAACTACAGAAGCGTTGCCAGCCTTTTTAGTACATATTTTAAATACTAATAACTACTCACACTCAACAATTGCTGTGTCTGTCCGCAAACTGTAACAGCTTGTCCGAGATGCTCAACACCGGCTTCTAAATCACCTGCAGCCAGTAACTCTTCACCGAGCTGAATCTAAATAACAAACAATTCATCTATTTATATTGTTACTAGTGATTTCCAATACTATGATAGAGGATGTACAAAAACATGATCACTAAACATGGAGCTGATTATTATGGAGAAAAGAGTTGGGGGTATCATCATCATCACCAGCTCACTATAATTCCCCACCAAGGGGCTCGGAGCCTACCCTAATTTAGGGTGACTAGGCCATAGTCAACCACGCTGGCCCAGTGCGAGTTGGTTGACTTCACACATATCTTTGAATTTCTTCGCCGATATGTGCAGGTTGCATCACAATGTTTTCCTTGGGGGGTATACAAGTTGAAAAAACATAGCAGGATTCTCCTAAACTTGGTCATTATATACCTTTTACCATACTAAACAATTAAATGCAATTTACAATTTTTAACACAATGTATAGTTTGTGGTTGAGTTTGGATTTTAACATTAGAAAATATAGACACATTAGAACCTCGATAACTCAAACCTCAGTAACATAAAAACCTCTATAACTTCAAAAAATAATATGTTCCCTTCATATCAGAGCCCAAAACCTCTATTGCATAGACCCTTGATAACTTAACATATTTTGTGTTTCCCTTGGACTTTAACTTATCAAGGTTCTACAGTATAATGGATTAATTCAATACCTGCTGCAAGAAGAATCTCTGCATCGCTTCATGATCATTCATATCGGGCAGTGGGCCACCTAGAGTGCTGGACCTTGATGCATTCTTCTGTGCCTTTTGACGTCCTATATTTGTTTTAAAAATATTTACAATAAATCTGATTTATTAACATAATATTTTAACAGAATAATTGCTTGATGTTATGACCATGTATGGTCAAGGCTTTATATTTTTATATTGCTCTAAATGCTTTAAATAAAGTTAAACAAAAAAGGTTTATATAAAAGGCTTAACCTCTATAATACTGTCAGTTCTACATATTCTTTACGAATAAAGCAAAACGAAAGAATATCTGAGGAATAGGATCTACAACGTGTTCTGTTACAGTCATGTAACTTCTTATTTTGCAAATAATGCATTTTCATTGAGGTTACAAAATCATGGACAGTTTTGCGGCATTGTGATACTTTATAGGTTGTTATACAACATTCAAAGTTCTTTTAATATATTATTTGCGAAGAAAATGGACACAAATGTTAAATATCAATAAATAAGGGTTTAATATAGTTCAATTAAAAATACTTACGTTCCCTCAACTTCTTTTTGAACAGAGGATCCTTACGTCTCTGTTGATCGAAGTATACACAATAGCCTAGAAATAGTGTCCCGGCTATACCGACTGCGATTCCAAGGGTAGTGCGAGTAATTTCCATATTAATTGAATTTTGCGTATTTAGTAGATTCATAAACCCACCAAAATATTTTTTTACTTTCGTTAGGTAAAGAATATTTTGCGAACCACCATTTAATACCAAAGAGTATGAGAAAAACCAGAGAATGACAAAGGCTCACGATTAGCAGTTTGGCTTTGATTGTTAATTATGTCGTAATTTTTTATAACCCATGTTAAAATGTGTTTGTGTTTAAAAATACAAAACTGGAAAAGATATTTTAATTCAGTATTTTATTTGTTTTATTAAATTCCTGTTTTAAAATGTTAATCTATTAATTTTCTTGCCATAACCAAAAATGTCACATGTATACATGAATGAAATTTGAGATTTCGTTTTCTTGTAAAAATAGATGTAATTTAAATATATGCCGGCCGACCCTTGTAAGAAATTTGCTTGTGAGATCCAGAGATGCCTATCCGGTAAGCAAATTCTTCATTATTTTATTTACCAATTGTCCTGCCGACAACCGACATGGATTAGTCGCCATCTTTGCTTCAACCTTTCAGTCGCCTCCACGGATTTGCGGGCGTTTCATCGCCTATTTTCAATGTTTTGCTCAATTATATCATTAATGTTTGTGTCGAAAACTACGTAAAAAGTTTGAAGTGTCTTGCGTAATACTTGAATGCAAAAATGAGTTTTTTCGGGTTCGGTCAAACTGCTGATATCGAAATCGTGTTCGATGATGCTGACAAGCGTAAAGTTGCCGAAGTGAAAACGGATGATGGTAAAAAGGAGAAGTTATTGCTTTATTACGACGGCGAAACCGTATCCGGGCGGGTTAATGTCACTTTACGGAAGCCCGGTTCGAAATTGGAGCATCAAGGAATTAAAGTAGAGCTCATAGGTCAAATTGAGTTATTCTATGACAGAGGGAACCATCATGAGTTTATATCATTGGTGAAAGAGCTAGCGAGGCCGGGAGATTTGCTTCAGCACACGTCGTATCCATTTGAGTTTGCCAATGTCGAAAAACCTTACGAAGTGTACACAGGTGCTAATGTCAGATTAAGGTATTTTCTTCGAGCTACCATTGTTCGGCGACTCACAGACGTCGTAAAGGAAGTTGATATTGCAGTTCACACTCTGTGCAGCTACCCTGATGTGTTGAACTCTATTAAAATGGAGGTAGGCATTGAGGATTGTCTCCATATAGAGTTTGAGTACAACAAATCTAAATATCACTTGAAGGATGTCATTGTAGGGAAAATTTACTTTTTATTGGTTCGCATCAAAATCAAACACATGGAAATATCTATAATAAAAAGAGAAACAACAGGAACAGGGCCGAATACTTTTACAGAAAATGAGACGGTAGCAAAATACGAAATAATGGATGGTGCTCCAGTAAGGGGTGAGAGTATTCCAATAAGAGTGTTTCTAGCAGGGTATGATTTAACACCTACAATGAGAGATATAAATAATAAATTCTCAGTACGATACTATCTTAACCTTGTTCTGATGGACACAGAAGACCGTCGATACTTTAAACAGCAAGAAGTTACACTTTGGAGGAAGAGTGATAAATCTAGATTACCATTGCACAATCCTCATCATCCACAGACATTGTCTCATCCCCCAAGCATGCCTACACAAAGACAACACAATGTTTCAAGTGAAGAAAATACTACAAGGGGACTATTACCTTCTATACCTGAAAATACTATGCAACGGTCTGTCTCTCCTATGTCTGATGTCAAACAGAATGGACCCACTGAAATGGAACAGGAAAGGCCAGATGTAATAACAAAACAGTTATCAAACACACATATCCAAGCCAATGAAGTAAATAACCCAATGTCTGATAATGAACCCTCTGAAACACCCTCTGAACAAGTAGCTGATAAACAAGAGATATCTGAAAAACCATTGGCAGTTAAACCACAGGTTGCAGAAAGGCCACAGATTGCAGAAAAACCACAGGTAACAGATAAACCTCAAGTTGCAGAGAAACCACAGGTTGCAGAAAAACCACAGATTACTGAAAAACCACAGATTGCAGAGAAACCACAATTGGAAAAGCCAGTAAGCCAGCCTGTACTTGTTGAAGCTGATCCAAGTCAATAACCTTTGCGTAATCGCAGATTTGCTGTTCTTGAAATGCGAACTGCATGTTTTCTACTTTGAAAACAATTGTTTAAAGTTGAGAACAACTTTTTAGATCATTGAGAGTATATCAAATAGATGGACATATTATTATTGCGCTTTTTACAGCTTTATTTATATATGTGATATGCTGTCAACTTGTCTCCCGATTATCTATGGTCATATAGGAGTATCATGTTATGTATAAATTAATGTAATTAAAAATATTGTACACATAGACTATGATTTTTGTTATGATTTCATTAGCACATAACTATTTCATTTAAACATATCATGATAAATATTAATGCAGTGCAATTTCTATTTTAAACAACTAAGTATTAACAATTTTTTGAGAAATCAAAAAAGACATACTTTGCAGTGATTTGCAATGATTTGTCCAGAGGTATCTTTTCTGAACGTTCATAATTATGTGTACATGCAAAATTTAAAAAACTTTTACACCTTCAGTTTTAAGAACATGCATTCAGTAACATATATTCAATTGTATATGCATATAATTTTGATAACAAAGATGTATAGTGTTTGAACTTTTGTCAATGCCCAGGTCACAGAAAGGGTCACCAAAAACAACACACAGTCCTCAATTACACCCCCTTAAAAGTAATGCCGCCCTACTAGTATTTGAAGGTACAAGATCTAAAATGCAGTTAACTGTAGTTTTGTAATAATCAGTTCATTGCACAAAACATTCAGTCCATAAACAATTTTATCAAACCCAGTTGACCTTTTATCAAAGTTTAAACTTTAAAATATGAAGATTTTACATTACTTAACTAAAAAATTGTATTTTTTTTTCAAGTTGTTTTTGCAATAATGGCAAAAATGTCCTATGTTAATAGAAAATTGGAATGTTCTAGAATCAGTGGGGGCTTGTAATTTTTACGATTTACTCCTCATGATCTATGACGTCATATGTTTTACGTGTCGCCATTTTCTTTTCATGCTGTTCCTTACTAAAGCAATATAATTAGGATTAACGCTATTATGAAATTAAAAAATTATGACATTATTGGGATAATAGGAGAAATAATAGGCAAATAAATATATAAGAATATAGACTATTTGAATATGAATATGATGGTTTAAGCTAGTCATTGTATCATAAATTCTTAAAAAAGCAATAAATTACATAATTATCTTGAAAAGTGTATTTGGATATTAATGTTTAATATTAAAATAGGTTATAAAAGAAATTAATCTAATAAGTATTAGAAGAGTGTATTTATTTTCACATTTTACTAGCACTTTTTATATATTTTGTTGTATTGCACAAAACAAAGTTTGCCAGAACTGCTTGGAGGACTTAATGCACGTATATGACACCAAGAAATGACGTCCATTCACGAAATACTCTAAGGGCTTATCCCGAATATGTGTGAGAATGTTTTCGTTACGTTATCGAAAATATATTTGTATTGTCGAAGAATTTTTATATTGTCGAAGTCCATGATTGTTCCATGTATGGCCACATCAATTTGTTTCAATTGACTGAAGGAAGTGCCTCTCTGCCAATTGAATGGTCTTTACTATGAGAGTGATTTACCAATCGATTGGATGTTTTGTTTTTAATTATTACAAAAAAAAAAAAACTTTAGTACCATAAAATAAACATTAGTTATCACTTCAATATTGCTTCAGATTCTTATAATTGAAATAGTCAAATACTCTGGCCGTTTTCTATGGATTTTCACCTTCCCCTGTTTTTTTACGTTGAATCGAAAACAGATAAACGAAATTAATAAAAAAAATCTTTAGGAAATTATAATTTTTTTATCAGAAAGTAAAATCTGTTCTTTAATTTTACAGATAATTTTAAATCTTTTATTTCTCAAATCAATTTAATTTATTTCATGTATTTCCAAATGTAATGGCCTAAAAGCTAAAAGAAGCAATGCTTTTTACTGGATATTTGATTTGGCACGTCGAATTCAAGATTGATCTATTCCACGATGTGCCAACTCAAGCATCGAGAACATTGTGTCCTAAATGTATAGAAAATGGCGATATGATTGTCGGAAATCAATTTGTACATACATTTTATTGTTGGTTATGTTTAAAATAATCTTATATACCTTTGTATTTTCCTTTTGCAACTGTAGATGTAAATTTTATGAGTAAAATATATAATAGTTATAAAGTAAAATCGCATGAAAATATGTCCTAAACGTTTGCTATGTTGAAATTTTATTTAATTAACAATAACAAAAGAATCTATAAGACTATAGCGTGTAAAAAGTATACTAAAATATGTAATTTTTAACACTTAGGTATTAGGTTTGAAAATGTTGTTGACGCGGATTGAAGATGTAATCAAGAATTTAAATAAATGGTTCGTATGAATTTAAAATTGAAAATCAGTTTTGTTATAAACATGAAATAGATATTTTGTTATAGTTCCAAATAATTTGTGCTTGTTCACTATTAACTCGAGGGCAGGCTTGTATTCACGTTAGCTGCTAGGCGTTTTGCGGTAAACCAGTTCAAACTGGTTACACTTGAGACGCTTTACTAGTTTTATGAACACTCCCATATAACATATGTTAAGTTGTCACTAGATGACCGACTGACACTGCCCAGTATCGGTGTTAGGGTAGGGCGATCGCCCAGGGCCATCCCCTAGTGTGACAACCCAGGGCGACAATAAAGGTGCGCCGCAGATATATTTGGTTAGCATCATATACGTATGACAGGAGATATCTCGCCCAGGGCGGCGGTAATCTTAGGCCCTTCCCGCGCCCTTTTATGAATTAAAATTCATACATCATTTGTTTGTAATTTTACAACTAACTCGATAAATATGAACAAGCACTAAGGAACAGTTCTCATATCTACTAATATTCTAACAGGTTCTAATTAAAATTGTCTCCATACTTTTTTAGCCTTGGTAGAAAAGAAACTTAGGATAATTATTTAGTCCTTATCTGTCCATTTTTACTAAAAGGCTTTATTTCTGAGATTATTTAATTATTTAAAAAATGTTTTTCTTTTCAATCTTCAGTTTGTTTGATAATTTTTTTACGTCAAATATGTTTTGTTCTGATCACATGTAATATTGTGAAAATTATGTCCATATATTTAAATCTTTGATGTGTTTATAAATAATATCATAATGAAATTAAACTTTTAATCGCGGGACACATTTGACTAAACAATCGAACGGTTGTGCGACTGATACTTTCGCAGCCAATTCAACTGTTTAGTTGCACATCTAAACATCGAGTGCAGCTCCACATAAGTTCATAGGAATCAAAGCGAGAATACAGTTGTGCGATAGTTTAGTCAAAGGTGTGCGTGGGCTGTTAATAAAATTAATTATACATTAATTGTATTGTTGCGAATTTAGAGGGTAAACGACGGTCGGCTGTCATTTTTTTTTTCAATTTAATAGTATGCCATGTTATTTAAATAATGTTATACCATGTAATATCCACATTATTTCGTTTTATAAAATACGCGATAAATTTTATGTCTGAAGTCTCTGAAAGGTAGCTTTTTTAGGAGTAAAAGAGACGGAAATATACAATAGCCAGAGCAAGGAAAGAGATGTTCTAGAGCTTCAGATATACAAAGATATTTAGGACCTGTCCCACAATTGTAAATTGGCAGAGTATATTTGATGGAAATATCGGATTTTGGTACACTATCTGACAGTGACGTCAAGTTATCTGAGGCTCTATCAGCCAGTGGTGGGACAGGCCCTAAGCGTACCACTTGTATAAAAGTATCTTTTAAGAGTTTAAAAGCGCATGTCGATTATATCATATTGTTAATAAAATATATGTATAAATTGGAAAGTTGTGTTTAATTTTGTTTCCCGTATTAATTACAATTCAGTTTGTTATTGATATTTAGAACGCACGCCTTTGACTAAACTATCGCAAAACTGTTTAGTCTCGCTTTGATTCCTATGAGATTATATGGAGCGCATACTTGATTTATAGTTGTGCAACTAAACAGTTGAATTGTGAAACAATCGACAATCGCATAACATGCGATAGTTTAGTCAAAAGTCCGCGTCCGCTCTTTATATGTTTAGTCAGATTGTAAACCATTACATACTGTTGGTGACATAGATTGACTCTTCTTAGGCGTCCAATCGATACCCAGAGTGGTGACCCTATTATGTGTTACTCAATACTTTTGTAGCGATAATTACGTGGAAACAGGACTTTATTTAGTAAACTTCCGTCCGCGTGGAATTAAAAAAACAAAAGTAAGTAGCCTATGTGTTCTTCCAGACTATCTTTTACATCTATGTTAAATTTCATCGAGATATGTTTAGCAGATTAGGCTACAAACTCTAACATCCATCCAAATTTTCGCGTGTATAATATTAGTAACACTAGCCATTGCTCGCGACTTTGCTCGCGTGAAATAAAAAATAATAAAATATAGCCCATGTTACTCACTGATAACGTAACTTATGTCATCAGTGAGTGATTTAATGGTGAAAGAATTTTTAGAATCGGCCTAGTAGTTTTTGAGTTAATTCAATACATACAAAAATACAAATATATCTTCTTTATAATATTAGTATAGATGTATAAAATTGTAAACAATTTTTACTAGTGTCATGATTTCTCAAGATATTTTTGCATCCAATTTATTTAACATCGATATAACAAGCAATTATCTATACTACTATTATAAAGAGGGAAGATTTGTATTTTTGTATGTATTGAAATAATTCAAAAACTACTGGGCCGATTTCATAAATTCATTCACCATTAGAAAGGTCATTTATCTGTAAGTAACATAGGCTATCATTTTTATTATTGTTTTAATTTGACACGGACGAATCCGTCTTAAATTACATCTATGTAAAAATAAATTGTATACCAACGTGATAATCCACCTGCCCTTATCCCTTACAGAGGGTCGGCACAGTATGTGCTCTTCCATATATCTCTATCAGCCGTCATATCTGAATCCACTGCTTTCTTAAGCATATCCTCTGAAATAAATCTAAAATTCTATACCAACGTGACATCTAAAATTAAAACTTAACCTTTTGACCGCTACGTTTTAATTATAGATTACGACTAGCGACAACTTTTGTTTTCGGTCAAGTTCATACTAATGATTTTCCTAACGTGATCCATCAACGGTTTAACACATGCCTGCATGTTTATATACGTTTCCCGATAAGAGTTAATCAATATTGCCTTGGTATTTGCGTCACAAAGACCACATTGTGTGGGCGGGTCACACATTCAAACACCAAACCATGTTTGGCTTGGAATTGTTAAAATAATCACTTATTTATTTACTAGCTCGCGATTTTGCCGGCGTGAAAATAAAAAAATATAGCCTATGTTACTCACAGATTAATTATCTTTCTAACGGTGAAAAAATTTTTAAAATCGGCCAAGTAGTTTTTGAGTTATTTCAATAAATACAACCAAAAAAAAAAACAAATTTTATGATACCCCTTTTTTGTGATTTGAATTTTTTCTTTTTAAAAGTGTATTTTTTTTCTTGTTTACGGCCGGTTACCCTAATAATTAAGGTATGTTATTTGAGTACAAAGGAGCGAGCTGAAAATCAGCGAAGGAACGGCTTAGTCCCTGCTGCATACGTTAGCTAGCTTTTGCCACGATGGTTTTTTTTAGAATAAGACCTTTTATGTATTTTTTTTTTGTGCCAATAAATACATATTTATTCATTCATTCATTCACGTGAACTTCCTACTTACGGGATTTATTACGGTTTCATCTCTAAAACCACAGATAACTAAAGTTAGTTAGGCAACTGTATATTAGAATATCCTTCCGTCGTGTTGATTTTTTAGAGCCAAGTAATATTCAAGTTCTAAGCTAACCAGTCTTGCAACCCTCTATAATATCGATATGAAACCTAATACCGCGATATTGAATACTGATCCCAGCGGTGTTTACACTTTTTGTACTCGTATCGCTAGGGTTTTTTAAATAAAGGTACAGTCGGGAAAACTGGTAGTGTTCATAAAAGCTACCATTTGAACATTTTGAAACGAGACGCGGAACAAAAATACAAAGCTTATAAAGTCGGTTAGTGATACACATCTAGTTTCTTTTTATTATTATCCCTTCGTTTGCACTCACTGCTATTAGTAGTTATTTGTAGGAATCGGCGGTGTTTGTCTCATGAACAAAGCAATGCCTGAAATGGAACACTGCGGATTTCCGCGAATGTACACACTTGCGACTCGACGGCATTGAAATTGTTGAAGTAGTAAAAAGCTTATTTATACTAATATTATAAAGAGGAAAGATTTGTATTTTTCTATCTTTGTATTGTTGCATTTTTGTATGTATCGAAATAACTCAAAAACTACTAAGCCGATTTCAAAAATTCTTTCACCATTAGGAAAGAAATTTATCTGTGAGTAACTTAAGCTTTATTTTATTATTGCAAATGTTGAGGACCTATTAATAAACAAAATATTTCTGGACCACGGCGTTAAAAATCACAATGTTTTAACTTATCTCGGCTTCTGCTGCCTAAACCGTTAGAGATAATTTAAAAAAGAATTGTTGATCTCAAAAAGTTCTAGAGAAAAGTCCGCGATGGCATATATCTTTAACCGTTTTCTTACAATAACATTTTTTTTTGTTTACAAAATGAATAATGTTTGTTTTCTTTCAGAAAATAAGTTTCAAGAAGTCCGTTGCGCGCGTGTCTTCGAGTCTATGCGACAGTGTTGCCTCAAGTTCAAGCACATATCTCTGGTATGCGAGGGTTACCGCCTCGAGCCGAGAGAGTTTGCGCCTGTCACTGACAGGCCTGATCACAATTAGGTGAGATTCCCCAGAAAGAGAGAGTGTAGAATAAAAGAGAAGTATTTTTAACATGATTTACCATACGTATGTGTTAACAGGAGGAACATGCTTTATTCTGAAATATATCGTAATATTTCAGCAGCACGGACGTAATTAGATATACACGCTTTTTCCCGCGACTGCTTTCGCGCGGAATTAAAAAAATCTAATTAAGTAATCTATGTTCTTTAAAACTATGAATACACTATTCCTGTGCCAAATTTCATTGAGATTCGTTGAACAGTTCTAGAGATAAGTAGCAAGCAGTAACAACCATACATCTAAATGTTCGCATTTATAATATTAGTAATATGGGCATAATGCTCTTCAGTTATGTAATATATGGCCTCGATATATCGGATAACGCCTTTTAAGGCAAACTTGGATTTCGTCGGACTAAACATTCGCTCTGTTATAAGTATAAAAGTTATTCTTAATTCTACCGTTATCTAATGAAAATCTCGGGGTCGTATGAGTATAAAATATGTTAATTACAAGCGCAGGAAAACCTGTTAAACTTATGTAACGTATTATATTTCAGATAATTATGGAAAATCCTCGTCGCAGTAAAACATTGGGTAAACGAAGTTGGATCTATAGGTATCCTAGGACATTTCAGATCACTTTCACTACTCTTGGAGTAGCTATATTCTTTTCCAAGCCTTTGTACGATTACTTTATTAGACCTAGAGAAGAGTTCGACTTCACCGAGCCACCGACTACATTAAGAAGATAACTAAGTATGGAATCAGTTATAAAAGCACGCGAACGTTTAGCTAAATTCCCCTTAATATTCGCCAAATGTTCGAAACAGAGTGCTGTTTACGCACATTGTGTATTACTTAAAGAGGAAGTTAAAAAGGACGATTGTGCTAAAGAGTTTAAAGAATTCTATACTTGCTTACAATCCGCAGCGAAAGAATTAAAAACGAAAATTTAAGATGGACGTTGTAAATGACGTCATCAATTTGCCATTCAGCTATCATTTGGTAGCGGGAATGGCAATACGTTTGGGACTTATTGTCTATGGTGACTACCATGATAATAATTACGATGTTGGCTACACTGATGTAGATTATAAAGTTTTTACGGATGCCGCGAGACATGTTTTGGCGGGTAATTCTCCGTACGCGAGACACACTTATAGATATAGCCCGATTATAGCTTACCTTTTAATACCAAATATTATACTAAACAAACATTTCGGTAAAATCCTCTTTTCTGTATTCGATGTTCTTTTAACAATAATCATAAAAACATTAGTTGAAAATCAATTGAAATCGAAAGAAGGTGCAAGAATTTCAAAATATTGTTCATATTTTTGGCTCTACAATCCGTTCAGTATCACCATTTCTACGAGAGGTAATTCCGATTCTGTGTCTTGTTTTTTTATTGTACTATCGATTTTTTTCTTACAAACTGATAAAATTAAAGGTATAATTAAATACGTATTATCCGGGATGTTATTAGGTATTTCGATACATTTACGTATATATCCATTAGCTTTCAGTTTCCCCATGTACCTTTCATTGTGTGATTACAAAATAACTCGCAACACCGATCTTAAAACTGGATTTATCGCACTATTGCCGAATAAGAAGCAAATATTTTTAACCTTAAGTTGCATTTTTACCTTGTTTATAATAACATATGGAATGTTTTTAAAATACGGTTATGAATTTCTATTCGAAACATACATTTATCATTTATTCAGGAAGGACACGAAGCATAATTTTTCTATACTTTTTTATTATTCCTATTTAACTATGGATCAATTGATATTCGACGTGGTGAAACATATTTCACAAATGTTAGAATTATTTATATTGTTTGTGTTAAGTTTATCTTTTGGTTGTGAAGCGAAAACTTTGCCGTTCGCTTTGTTTTGTCAGTCTGTTGTTTTGGTTGCGTTCAATAGTGTGATGACGTCACAGTACTTTATTTGGTTCCTGTCACTTTTACCATTGGTTGTCCATAATCTTCGGCTTAAACCAGTTGTAGCTTTATTATTGTCGATAATATGGTTCACCGCACAAGGAGCTTGGTTATTTTACGCGTATTTATTAGAATTTAAATGCCGGGAAATATTTATTTTAATCTGGCTGAAAGGTATTGTTTTCTTTTGCGCTAATATTTTCGTTTTGGTACAGCTTATAAAAAGTTACTCGCCCGAATATCGATTCGGAATAATCGATTATCCTTGCGGTGTGAAAAATAAATAATCTATGTAGTAGTAAATTGTGATTTTTAGTATAGTTTGTTCTTAGTAGTTTTAGTGAGGGAAAAATAAATAAAAGATGCAATTTTTTTCAGTTTTATTTTTAACAATGTCTAATATATTACTAAATTAAAAATACCCATACTAACACAACACCATTGTCAAATGCATTGAGACAAGAACTAATTTAAGCACAGATAAAAGTCGTTTATTTAATGACTTGCATTGAAGAAGTTCCCATATATCTATTTGTACGTTTTCTATTAAAACCGTTGTTGAAAAATATAAATTATAACTTGCAGCAATATTTTCAATTTAATGTATCATATAAAATTGCCATTAAAACAATATTGATGTTTATAAATAAAAATGAAACAAAATGGAGTGTTTTTAAACGAAAAAAATCTATATTGTCTATGGCACTTACTGCAAGTTATAATTTGTTTTTATAGTTTACTATTTTTTGGTTTCTTGTAAGTTTATTTTGGTAAGATCCTCAGAGTCCCCTTGCGACATATTCGACAACTTCTTACCGATGCGTTCATGGACGTCTAAATATTTCGCGACGCAGCGATCCAAGCAGACTGATTCGCCTTTCCCTGTAATAAATGCTTATTAAATAACCTTATAATTGCTTAATACATACTTAAGAATATTGATTTTATTTATATTACTAAAATGTATAATAAACTGAATTTTCCTTTGTCATTTTTAGTGTAATACAAATGAAAAGTAAAATAAAACCTTTTAATTTGTTGATAAAAATCTACTCAAAGCATCCATCATCATGGACATAACTTAAAAGTTGCTTAAAAATACATTCAAAACATTGTTACAACTACATTTCAAAGTAAAATCATAATATTTAAAACTAGCTGTAATTCACCACTCGCCCATGTGAACTTAAAAAAATATAACCTATGTAACTAATAACATAGCTTTTAAATGATGAAAGAATTTTTGAAATCGGCCTAGTAGTTTTTGAGTTATTTCAATACATATAAAAATCCAAATATTTCCTCTTTATAATATTAGTATAGAAGTATAGATCACATCTGAAATCAAATAGGGAAAATAAACTTAAACTGTACTAACCTAGTTCGGACTCATGATACTTCAAGGGTATACATTTTCGATGACAGGTGGTGACTAAACGGTTGTACATGTCGGACATCATCTCTATCTCCAACTCCTGGACCAGTTGCAGCTTGGCCGGATCTAATTGTGGTACTGCCATCTTTGATATTCCTTCACACTAGTTTCTACAGCAGTTAACTGAAATAAGTGATATTTGATATATTAAATACTTGCATGTTATCTGAAAAGATAGGAAAAGAATATATTCTTGTCCATTTCTTTGTGTGGGGGAATTTTCCACTAGTTTTGTTGGGGTAGGGTGAGTTCGGGTGACTGCCTCACACTGCAAGCTCTTATACATGCAAGATTATAACTGCAAAGCAGTACGAAAGAAGGGGCCTGTGACGCCCTTTATATCGGCTTTTCCGGGCGATCACCCTACTCCAATGCTGATACTGAGTGTTTCTCTGGTTTTTCATATTAGAATGGAAGGGATAACAAGTCTGTGGAAAGTTGAACAGTGTTGTAAGTTAGATATTTGTATTTACTTACATTATCTCACAGTTTCCTGTACAGGTCGGGATACTCTCCTTCGTTAGCTCTGCGCATACGTTCCCTTGCTTTCATATTCTCAATACGACGGTCATTTACGTAGTTTTTCGCAACCACGAAAAGAGATAAACTTGTGACTGTAATGCCTAACCTGAAATGTAAAGATACCGCTTTAAAATATCTCTAAAGATATAGTGCGAAATAAGTATTAATTCATGATAATTTTTCTCTTCGAAATACCTGTTTAATCTGGTCTAACTATATTACAGTATGTAAACTAGATCAATAGGGAATTAACACAAACCAGAAACTAAGAGGATATTGTCAATTTTTCATATGTTTTTAATAATTATCTAGTGTATTTTAAGATAACCTCTAAGATAAAAAATAAATTTTGGGCTCACCACCAAGAATATTCTTTGTGAATAACAAGGAATAATATTGGAAATATTAGATATATTTGTAGTTACCACGATAATGTTATTTTTCCAAATTTTCCAAGCGACATACTCTTCTTAAAAAAAATTTCGCAACAGTGACAGATTACTAAAAGAAAAGAACTCAATTTTTAGGTTAACATTTTCCATTGATTTAAGAATCATAGACAATACAGTGGTTGGTTATAGGTAATTGAAAATCAATTTCATTACCGATGTTTTTATTTTTTCAACACTTTTTTTTCCAACATTTTAAGAAAACTACTTTTGTGATTCTTGGAATTTTCTCTAATGTTTCTTACTGTGGTTATCATAAATCACCGTTTAAAACGTTATGTTTCTCGTTTTCCGAACCCATGTCGTTTTGTCATTTAAATGTCAATCAATTCAATGTCAATTTTAGTTTTTTTGAGGTTTGGTACTTTGGCTTCATACTTATTTGTTATGAAGTTTAATAATAGCCGTGTTTAATAATATTTGTGTTTGTAACATTTGTAAATACGTTTCCACCGTAGTCATATAGTGCTTAAATCGATTATATTTTGAAATGAATTTCGTTAAAAAAGCACTTCATCAAATACTTTCAAAACAAAATGAATATTGTTGTTTATGTTTCGAATCAGTTAAAGAAAATGGTGTAAATATTTATGATGAAGTTGTCCTAAAAACAACAAAATCAGAAAATCATATAAAACTGTCTGAAATATTGATTTCGTTACTTGGAGAAGAAGTAAGTAGCCACCAAAGTATTTTAGTAGGAACGTGATATCTTGTACTATTTTGTTTCAATTAATACCTAATTTTTGACATGTAAATTTTTATTTCAGACTTATAGCAATGTTTCAACCTTTGATGTTATTTGCGAAAGATGTATGAAGATGTCAATAAAAAGTTACAAATTCATTAAAAGCACACAAGAAAACTCAGAGCAATTAGGCAAAATAATAGACATACTCTCCAATTGTTCAGAAGGTACTAAACACGAAAGGGATGAGTGTCAAACACTTTTTATTTCTTTAGATCCTGAAAACTTTACTAGTAAACTATTCTATGATTACAACAAACTTTCGAAACCATATTTATCTAACGCTGTAGAGAGATTTCAAACTATAATTAACACAGAAGATATGCAGCCAAGCTTAGAGTACCAACACAATATAAAAATTGAACAAGATGAAAATTACTTTATAGAAATTGCAAAAAATAACCGTAAACACAAATTCAAAACAAAGCATAGAAATAATATTGCGATACCAACTAGTGAAATGCTTTATGATAGAAAAGACAGAAAAAATTTACAATGTAAAGGGTGTTTAAAAGATTTTCCGTCCCTTTCTAATTTAAGAAACCACTATATTAGAGTTCATGCACCAAAAGTCTTCAAATGTTCAGCGTGTAATAGAAAATTTGGTTCCCAGTCAATTTTAGAAGCTCACAAAAAGGAAAGCCACTGTACCCTAATTTGTATGGAGTGTGGTAAACCATTTCACAACAGACATACACTTAGAATGCATGAAATGGGTCACGGAGGTCTCAAATTAGTATGTCAAGCATGTGGCAGAACATACAAAAGTCATACAACATTCAAAAAACATATAGAATTAAATATTTGCGGTCAAAAAACTCGTGCAAATCCCGCCCAAGCTAAATTTACATGTGACTATTGTAATAAAAAGTACACTCAAAAGGTGTCATTGAGAGTCCATATACAACATGAGCATGGAAACTACAAAAGTCATGAATGTAATTGGTGTAAAAAGAAATTCTGGGCTCTTAGTCGGTTGAAGGCCCATATAGTCAAACACACACAAGAAAAAAAGTTTCATTGTAATATTTGTGGTGGTAATTTTGTTACAAAAGAGTCTCTGTTATACCACACTCGTATCCACACGGGTGAGAAGCCTTATAAGTGTGATTATTGTGAACGTAGATTCATCTCATCGTCTCGGAGAGCGGAACATGTGAAAAATCATCACTTAAATGCAACTTTGGAATGCGATGTTTGCCACAGCAAGTTCAAAACACAGTTATGGTTGGAAAAACATAAAAGGACACATCTAGATAAAAATAATGCCACAAACTTAATTCAACAAGCTCTAGCTAATGATTATGAAATTCAAATATCTGAAGAAGATAAAATTTATCTAGAAGTGTCTGATTGTGAAGATTATGGCTTATGATGGCCAGGAAATGTATGGATTTGTTCTATATTGTGCTTCTTAACTATGCTAGATGTGATATTTTCAATAATTATTTCTATTAAAATATTTTGCAAATGAATTGTTGAGTTTTTATTTGAACTAAAACACGAAATTCCGCGTATAATATTAAATCAAACTCGTTTAGTTATATAGACAAACTACAGGTGTACAAAATCCTTAGAAAATCAAATACGCATAAAAACATCTGATAGCCTGTCCATTTATAAAGCTCAGTGTTGTTATTTTTCATCATACAACACTGTCTGTCAAAATCAGCTGGCAATTGGCGAATTTTCAAACTGTCATTTAAAAATGCTGATGATAATATGTTTGCGGCAGGTGTTTCTAGCTTTCAATATATAAGACAAAAAAGGAAAAGGATTTATAAAGTAAAAAATGACTTTTATGGAAGATACACTGATAATTTTAATATCCCAGGTGCGTATTTAACTAGGTTATCCTTTTTTAAACTATTTTTCTAGTATCGAGATAAACACCCACACTCAAACGGTAATAAATTGAAAATTTAAATGCTAAAACGAGGTTTTTATGCTTAAAATGAGTATATTAATTGTAATATTTGATTTAACTTTGTTTCAGTCGATATTCTTTGTAGGTGGATGGATATTTTTCGTGAAACAATTGTTTCGAGACTATGAAGTTCACCATACACTTGTACAACTTATATTTTCTGTTACTTTCGCGCTGAGTTGTACGATGTTCGAGCTTATTATATTTGAAATCATAGGATATTTAGATACAAGGTTAGTGACACAATACTTGCCTAAAAACATCTTAAATCAACATGAAGCACAAAAACTTGGTGTTTTGACCCAACAGGAATAGGTTAAGAATGGGATTTCGATAGGGTTTCTTAGATAACCAACATGGTTCAAATAAGTTATTCTAGCAGAAAACTAACAGATGGTTTTGCCCATCTTGGCTATGCTAAGTTGAATTGCTTTTATGTTTGTTTTAGTGAGTGTTTTTTTGTGTGGAAAAAAGTTTTTTTTTTCTAAATATTAAATACTTTAGTTCCAGATATTTCCATTGGAACTTTGGTCTTTACTCCTTGTTGTTTATGGTAATTGCTCTGATACCATTTTACATTGCCTACTTCTGCATCAGTAATATAAGATTTGGTAAGTTTTTGTTAACAGTGTTAATCTTTTTTTTCTGTGCTGTCCATGCATGGCAGTAAGGACAGTAATGTGCGGGACTGCCAGCCTTATTTTTCAGTCAAACTACCCACTAAACCCCACCTGTTTACCTTCACCCAACCGGGCCGTGGCATCTACATTAGTTTATCCAAAACTGGGCTAGGAGGAGCTCCTTTACTTATACTTAACTATATTTCTTTTTGTTTTATAATTTGAAATAGTGTCAATAATTTGATTTTGTTTTATTATTTTTCAGTGTCTAAGAATATTATAAGACCATTGACAATGTTTGTGTGGTTTATTTATTTGTATTTCTTTTGGAAAATCGGAGATCCCTTCCCTATATTGAGTCCAAAGCAGGTAAATGTTACACTAGTTTGTATTTATTAACTTCCATAACTATGCACAGAATTAAAAAAAAGTAATTTAGTATCCTATGTGTTCTTTCAGACTATGTTCTATAACTATGACAAATATCTAATGATAATCTATTGAGCCATATTGGTAATATGTAGTGTTTAGAAGAAAATCGGCTCAACCCTAGTTTATTGGCAAAGATATCCCATCCCTGACAGCTGTCAATGTCATTCAGTTAATTTTAGAATAGCGCGTCATTTTGGCGGGAATTGATGCTCAGTTTTATTATGTTGTAATCATTATATTAATGTCCAAAAGTAACAAACATCCATCCATACTTTCTCATTTATGTTATTAGAAAGTTTTATGTATTCCATTTCAGGGTATATTTTCAATAGAACAAGGAGTGTCTCGTATAGGTGTCATAGGGGTCACTGTTATGGCATTATTGTCAGGTTTTGGTGCTGTCAATTATCCATACACTTCAATGGCGATATTTATAAGGTAAATATTTTGTAACTTTCATGTACGTAATACGACTTAATAGGATACGACGATATATTACTAGACGTAATACGATCTAGATCTTAGGTCTTCTTCCCGGACGCTGTGGGAGCATACCCGGTACTCCGCAAAATTGAATTGGACCCCGTGCTGGTGCAAGTCTTAACAGGTCACGGGGGCTTCTCCGAATACTTACACAGATTTAAGTGTAAGACGAGCCCCTCATGTATGTGTGACCCGGCACGGGGTGAGTCCGTGCTGCACGCAAATATAGACTGCCCTGTCTTTGAGGCACGCAGGGCAGCAATTGAAGTGAAAATAGGAGAAAAGATAGAATTGGCCAATATTAGAAATACAAGTGCAAGGGAAACGTTTTTAGAATTTAGCAAATATGTAGCAACATAATTAATTAGTAAAAATAAAGTGCCTTAAACCTAGTCATATTAAAACTTTAGTGAATTATAGCGTAGCATATGAATGTAGTCATTTTAATGTATAGCCAATCTAGTCATTCTAACTGTAATTTTATTATTTTACACTCATTTTATACATATCCTATATTTTATTTTACATTTCATTACCAGTTATAATTTTAATAATGTCCAAAATTTTAATATTGTACCTGTAGTCTTAGTAATATTTATTTTAATATTAATGTATCTAAGCTTGTGTATTTTAAAAAATCTGTAAAAATAAAAAGTAAAATGTATGAGATAAAAATGTAATGATGCAGATGAATTATATGAAGCATAATAAAGGCTCTGGCTTCCATGCTAGAGGAATTGTATAATTTAAAAAAAAATCTATGGCCTAGATCTAGATCGTATTACGTTGTCTTCCGTTTGATAGATAAATAGTTTTGCTCGCGACTTCGTCTGCGTAAATTAAAAAAATAAATAGCCCATGTAACTCACAGATTTCTCACTCACTTTCTAACGGTGTAAGAATTTTTAAAATCAGCCGAGTAATTTGAGTTATTCCGATATATACAAAAATACAAATCGCACCTCTTTATAATATTAGTATAGATGAAATTTTCATAATAATGTTGAGGATTGTATATTAATTTTGGTTGCAACCTTAATAACATATAAGATAGAAATTTTAACAAAAGCTGTATTTTTAGACCAGTGACACAAGCAGATGTATTATCAATAGAGAAAAAGTTACTACAAACTATGGATATGATATTAGTGAAGAAGAAAAGGATAGCACTAGCGGAGGCTAACAGTATGGGAGGGAGACAGCAATACAATCTGTTGGACCAATCCGGTGTGAAAAATAGAGGATTTTGGACGAATATTTTATCTAGTGTTGGCAGCATTGCTAATCCCCTCAGTCATGGAAGTGAGAGTAAGTTGTCTCTTTTTTATTGCTTATAAAAGATAGAGTGCATTTCTGTCAACATTTAAATTTTACCCTATGACAAAGATTTTTCTTAAAATTAGTTATTATTAGATTTTACATATTAATAGATTTTTTATATGATAATTAAGACGTATGTATTTAGTTATTTAATTTAGAATATAAAAAAAAACAGTTTAGGGTGGGAAAATGCATACAAAAGAACAGTAGCTTTTATGTCAGCGTAAAGCTTCGATCCCCCTCGATTTCTAGAATGCATGCCAGTTACTGGCAATGTGTATTCCAGTTACTGACGTGTAGTCTTTAGCTACTAAGTGGGTGCGAGAGTTGAATACGACAGCCTGGGAAAATTTGAGATGGCACGTCGTGAATAGTACTCCTTCTATCCACGTGTCTGGTGCAACCCTGTTGTCTATGGTGTGTCAAATTTATTCCTTCTACCCATGTGTCAACTTGACATACCATAGATAACAGGGTTGCCGAGTGTTAAAGATTAAAAAAAAACTGCATGTGGCAACCTTGTTGTCTATGGTATATTAAGTTGATACGTGGGTAGGAGGAGTAAACTTAACATACTATAGACAACAGGGCTGCCACATATAGTTTTTTTTTTAATATTTTTAAAACTCGTACCCCAATTTATTAATATCGTATATAGATATATCCCAGCTGCGTCAGGAGACGCTAGGTCTGGAGGAGCTGAGCCGGCAGCTGTTCCTGGAGGCGCACGCGGCGCGCTCCATGCGAGACAAGATACACTGGTCTAAAACATTCCAAGGGAAATACTTCAATTTCCTTGGTTATTTCTTCTCGCTTTATTGCATCTGGAAGATATTTATTGTAAGTTTATACCTTATTTTTTTTACACTTTCCTTATCTATATTATTTAGCCCGCGAGTACGTCCGCGTGGAATTAAAATAAAAACAAAAAACAAAAGTATTTATTCTTCCACACTAACCTCTAAATCTGTATCTAATGTCATCCAGATCCATTGAACAATTTATGCTACAAACTCTAACAATCCATCCATCTATACCTTCGTAAAATATTAGTATAGTACGATTAAAATATTCCAATTACATTTTCCCCGAATTATAGTAATTGGATGTTTTTTTTTAATAAATAGAACAAAATATCCAACGGCGAAACCAGGGGGGGGGTCATGGGTGGTCATGACCTTCCCTGAGCTGGTTGATCATGTCAAAATATATTTACATATTTTGTCAAGCTCTTGATTTGACCACTACTAGGGGGGGTCACCCTGGCGCCAAAGCCGGAGCCACCCTTAGCCTCCTCCTAAGGTAGAGTGAGTTTTTTAAGAAAATTGACTATTTGTATATGAAATTTGACACTTAAATGCTTCAATGTGTAGTCAACAATCAACATAGTACTGGACCGCGTGGGGGCGAAGGACCCGGTGACCCGCGGTCTGGAGCTGGTAGTGCACTGGCTGGGCCTGCGCCTTGACGTCGCCTTCTGGTCGCAGCACGTCTCCTTCCTGCTCGTAGGATGCATCGTGCTCACTAGTATACGTGGACTGCTCCTCACACTTACAAAGGTTAGCAGCTTTTTTTCATTTTTTTGTATTTTTTGTGATTTTTTTTGCGATTTTTTGGAATACATAGTGATTTTGAAAAATGAGCTCATATAATTAAAAACAGATGTTTATTGTTTGTTTTTAAATGTTTTTATGCACTAATTTTTTTAGTCTGAAGTTTTTTTTTAATATGATTTTTTTTCAGTTTTTCTACAAAATATCGTCATCGAAGTCTTCAAATATCATAGTACTTATACTCGCTCAGATAATGGGCATGTACTTCTGTTCGTCTGTACTGTTGATGAGGATGAATATGCCGCCAGAATATCGTATAATAATAACTCAAGTGTTAGGAGATTTGCAGTTTAATTTCTACCATAGATGGTTTGACGTAATATTCCTTGTCAGTGCCTTGACTAGTATTTTTACTCTGTACCTCGCCCATAAACAACCATCTGTCAGCTAGAATTGACAGACGTCGGCGGCCAACCTTGCGGAATAAACTGTCAGTGTTAAATAAGAAAAGTGTGTTTTTATCTGTGATTTGTTGTGTGAAAATTGTAAAGAATGAAAGAAAATTAAGACTCTATGTAAGAATTAAAAGTATTTATAGCTTTTATTGTGTTTTTATTTCCATTATTTTAGTACATTTAACGCTGAGTCAAGATCAAAATGATTTAAGTAAATGAATCCGTTAAAAGATTTTTTTGTCTTTTAGTTTATTAACTTACCTTTTCCAAATTATTAAAAACTGATAAATTTACAAAAAAAATTATAAAAAACCTACCAAACAAAAACACTAAAAACAGGATGGTTACTTTTTAGTGAATTGTTTTTTTGAGAATACTCAGTAGGGAGAAACAACACCAGGGGCGGAAATATACCGTAAAACATAAAAATTCTTACCACCTTTTGGGTAGTCGATCAAAAAGGGTAATAAAAAGCATTTATTGTTTTTAATACATTTATTTAACACATTTATCTTTTAAAGACTATCGAAAGAAAGTTAAGATAGAAAACTGGAAAGGCCACCCATTTACTCAACATTAAATACAATTTTAATAATTAAAAGACTTTGAACATTAATTTTGAACAATTCAGATAAAATATACACATTTTAGTCAAACAAGTATATCTGACCCGATAAGACTGTATACTTAGGTACGAAGAAAATTGACATTTTTGACATTGACAGGATGGCGATAGTGAACTGTCAATTTATCTTATGCCTACCGGGTCAAATATCTTTATCTGTCTATACATTAGAAAATGTCAACATGAAATATAGATTATTAAAACTTTCCCGCTAATTTTTGCTATATATGAAAATATGACTTATGCCAATAACAATAAGGCTTACAATTGCTTAGTAATTACGATTGACATTGGTGTTATCTCTTGAGCAATGCAAAACTATAAGCATTTCAATTAAAAATATATTACAAATTGCAATTTACAATGTTACGTATAAATAAACGGGCTTTTAAAAACTGCGTCATTTTTGCATCCCATTTTTAATAATTTATTTTTAGTTGTAGACAACGGACTTATAGGTGATCTAAAAAATATTTGAGGTTATTTACTAAAGCAAATATAAAACATTTACATGATAATTTGAAATAAAATGTCTGTTTGAATGACCTTAATTGTCTTTCTTAAGTACTTGTACAAAAAATAATATTTTTGAATTTCTTGAAAGAAAAAAAAAGTGACGACAGTATATTTCAAAAATTGTTTTCGCAGTGACAATTTTATTCTTCATTTGCAAAGTTAAATAGTATAAAAATACTCTAAAGATGGGAATGACAGAATTTCTAAAGGCCCGTTTATGTTTTATTTTAAACCTTGTCTTGTTGGTTTGAAGGTCTACTCTCCCATGACATCTTCGTATTGTTTCCTGAAGCAGTCTCCGACGGGGAAGAAGTCCCAGCACCGCTGCGTATACATGTTCCATACATACGTCTCTTGACCTTGAAATAAAATAAATTAATTAATAAAAAAAATGTTTAATTGACGAAAATATAGACGCTCAGTTATGAAAACTCGTAAACACTTTTATTCATTCAGACCAAAGACATTTAAGAAATACATAGACTAGACATAGACAACATTTTTCACCGGTAACTTTTTTGTACGGTAACATCTCAACGTCAAATTTGACACTTTTTTTGTTTGTGATTTTGATTATCGGACATCAGTTAGTGAGGTTATATGAAAAATATTTCAAGTGAAGTGTCATTTACATACTTTTTGAATCTCTTACAGACACATCCTAAAGTTGTTTCCTATTCGTTGTTCAGTATAATTTTGTAACACCGACAAATTCCCTGATAGTACTTACCGGTGTACTCTGTGTCAGGTTTGTTAATGAGATGCATAACGAAGAACATGTAATTAGCGAGGTTATGCTCGCGTTGTACATGTGTGTCGAACCCGTGCGGCACCTAAAATAGACACAATTTTAAATTTAAATAATCCCACAAAAAATATAGAAACTACTGAGTCTCGCTTCCCTTACAAGTTAGATGTCATGTGAATTCTAGTCATTTTAGTTATTTTGAAAGAATACCACTTGCTTTTGATCACATTTTTATACCTACTTAGGAAAGCTCTTGTGAATGAGGTATTTTAATTTGAAGATTGATTACCTTAAATATGCATTTGTGTAAAAAGGGATTAAACTAGCTATGACTTGTAAACTACTAGGTAAAATAATAGAGCGTCGGTGGCTCAGTGGTTTAAGCACTTGACTTGTAATCTACAGGTCTTGGGTTCGAATCCCGCCTTACCAATGTGATTTTCGATTTTTCGAATTTTCGTATGTACATAATTTACCCGACGTTCTTACGGTGAAGGAAAACATCGTGATGCCTGCACATATCGGCGAAGAAATTCAAAGACCCGCAGTGGGACAGTTTGGTTGACTATGGCCTAGTCACCCATTATTAGGGTAGGTTCGGAGCCCCTCGGTGGGGACTTATAGTGAGCTGGTATAGGTATAATTAAAAGACATTTTGGTAACATAACGAATTATGGTATATCTCTTGATGTTCAGAATTTCACTCTTTGTTCTTCTTCTATCTTTATTCACAACGAAGTTGCAGGGATGTCAAAAGGCCCCTGAACCGCATCGAGGAAAAAAAGTTTGGTCGTGCTCGTCTCGGCAGATTTTAAATTAAAAAAAAATAAGTAAGACACATTTTTTAACTTCACTAACTACTTGCTGTTTACCAAGTTTTTATTAAAATACCGCACTGTAATAATGGCGACTGATCGCTATCTCAGGAAGATGTACTAATTTTCACGGGAGTTATAAGGTAGTTGATACACGCGGGAATGTTACAGACGACGACGACCATTTTTTTTACGCGGAAACGAAGTAAGCGGGCGTCAGTTATTGATTAATATTACCTTATCAAAGTAGTCCTTATTGATGCCGCATATGAAGCAGTTAGACTCCATGTCCTCCTTCACCGACTCCAGCTGGTCACGCAGCTCTCCGAACGCGTCGATGATCAAACCTGTGCACCATACATATTATTGTACAAAAAGTCAATTACAAAAAAAAACATTTTTTTAATTGAAAACTCCTTTAGATTAATATTATTTTATGTGCTAAAAACCTACCACTAAGACGGAAGAAACCTGGCTAAGACAAGACGTAGAGCCTAGTGTAGGAACCAGGCGCTCGACTACTATTTTGTTAAAACAAATTTTTGAATCAAGTTAATAATTAAATCTTTAAATATACTTGCTGTTTCTCGTGACTTCGATCACGTGAAATTAAAAAAAAAAGTATATAGCTTATGTTACTCACTGATAACGTAGTTTTTTAAAGGTGAATTTGTGAATTTGGCCCAGTAGTTTTTGAGTTATTTCAATACATACAAATATACAACAGTGGTAGAGCCCGATTTAACATCTTCGCACTGCAGGGCCAGCTCGCCCCCACCAATACCACGACCACACAGAAAACGAAGTGGGAGTAGTTCCGCGTACAGTCTGATGAGTGAAGTGCCGGAGGCCCAACTTTAGTCCCTTTTCCTTCCCATCCTTTTTCTCATAAGAAAAGGATGAAAAGGGAACGAGGATTTGATGCTTAAAGAGACGCGTAGGAAGGGAAAAATGTTCTCTTTATATGCATCTCCTCCGTCGATTAAGGGTAGGCAACGCATCTTTAATTGCAAATGTCTATGGGCAGTCGCTTTGCCATTTTGACGGATTCAGGTGGACGCTTGCTCGTTTGCTACCTTATGATATAAAAACGTTACAGCTACGTTGTGTTCAATGCTCCCGTGCGATATCTGGAGCTTACAAGATTGTTGAGTACTGACCCTGCAGGATGGCGAGCAGGATGACGATGATGAAGAAGAAGAAGGAGATGTCGAAGATGATGCGGTAGACCTCGCCGTCG